CCAATCTTATAGACAAATAAATAAATAAAGTAAAAACATAAATCCATGACTCTGATATTTCATCTAGAAGATATAAAAATATTGACAATGCGTACCTTAAATTGGATTTCAGTTCCACTGAATCTCTTCACACGAGTCCGGGAGATGATTCAAATCAATAGAACTCAAATGATCATTATCACCTACAAAAGTTGAGATTTGATCTTCATTCAAGTTAATTGCCGAAATTTGGCTTGTCTGGTTACCACCTTCTCCATGTGTACGAGTTCTTTTTTTTAACCTTGCTTCAACAATTTCAAACTGTGACGGATCTCTGATTGTTGAACTCACTCCTTTTTTCTTATTTCTACTTGATGGTCTTCCTCTACCTCGTTGCACATTTGGCTCAAAGTTTAACGGAGACTTTTTACCAACAAGTTCACAAAGCGTTTCTTCAATATGTTTCTTCTCGTTAAGAGGTAGATGTTGATACTTTCCTTCCAACTTGTCAAACAATCCCTTTAAAATAGGATCTCCATTATCACTCTTGCCAACATCAAAAAGAGATTCTCTTGTGTCAATGCGCCATTGTGGATGTATAGCTGCAAGAGGTATGGTTTTCCCTATCCAAGAATTCATCATATGAGCACAAGGCAACCCCATAGTAGCCATGAAGGTACCAGTACATGCCATACTCATTGAATGATTTCTTAACATCTCAAATTGATTTTCTAACTTATCCAAAGCAAAAAGTGAAACTTTGTTCACAACATCTCTGAAAAATGGAACCCTACACTTATGAGGAACTTGAATTCTTTCCCTTGAGATCCTTACTTTGACTTCTTTGATGTCATTTTCTAGGAGAAGAGAAACTTTCTGCTTGACTACCAGCAAATCACCAGTTGAGACGGATAAATAAGTTTTCAATTTTGAATGTGCACCTTCTGCTCTAGAGGAAGAACGTGTACCAAAATGTAATTTTTTATTTGTCCATGCACTAACAAAATGCTGCTTGTGTTGAAGGCATGTGTCTCGAAGATAATTCAGCATGTCTGTCTTTTCTGTATACAATGACTCCGTGCTATGCCATGCTTGACTAAATGATTCCTCAGTAGAAGAGTAGACAACCGTATTTCACATAGCCAAAAAGTCTTCCCAGTCTTCTTTGTTCCCAAAACATGGTTTACATTTGGAAACAATATTCTTCTCAATATGCCAAACACATAACAAATTTAAAGTACTTGGAAAAACCTCTTTTATAGCTTTCATCAATGCTAATTCTCTATCGGTTGCAATAACAGAAGGACAAATACCATCTCCAAGCATATCACGGAAGTTATGTAACGCCCATTCATAATCACTCTGTCCTTCTTTTCTTAGAAAAACAAAACAAGAATAGAATGACGTGTTAAAGCTGGTCATACCAATTATCTCAAGCAATGGCATCTTATATCGGTTGGTCTTGTAGGTGCAGTCCATGACAAAGACAGTTGAATAACTCCTGCTCAATGTAATCAATTCTGGATGTGCAAAAAAAATATGAGTTAAACGACCTTCTTGATCATCTAGATAGTCAAACAAATATCCCGCCTCAGTAAACCCTTCAAACAAAACTTGAACGATAGTACGTCCTTTGAGATTTTCTCTTGTGATATTTCTCTTCATATTATAAACATCTCGAACAGTGATTTGAGACTTCTTATTTTGGTTGCGAATAAATGTAATAATTTGGCGAGGTGGGGTTCCAGCCATGCTCATATTCTTCACTATCAAGATCTCTTCTTCTGAGAATACTCGCTCTGATGGGTGTCCAGAAACATCTTTGGAAGCTTCATGATTATGAGAAATATTTTTAAATGATATCTTCCAATAACCTTCTTTGTGCTTCTTCCCATATATTTGAAAAGGGCAGTTTATGAGACGAGTTGTTGTTTTCTTTTGCCTCTCTTCAATGGGGACATTTACTCTATCTCGATATACTCCTCCTCTATCGCATCCAATGGTAACATTCTTATTCGGTCTTGAACTTCTAATCGATAAGGTATACCCTTGAGTTGCAAAAAATTGTTTCGCTGCCTTTATGAGATCATTACGAGTTTCATACACAGCAGCAAGTAGTTTGGCCATGCCTGCTTCCCTCACATCCCCTTAGTTAATGCGATCATTGCAAATGAAAACTTCATTTTCTTCAACTTCCCGATCCCCCATGTGTGTTCATCTAAAAAATTCAACAAACAAATGTGAGTAAATAATAGTCATAAAATTTACATTTTCTTTAAGGTAAAAAAAAGCATAACTTGCTGCTTCATGACTAACAAATTACGATAATTAGCTAACAGCATGATGTGTATATGTGACTAGCTAATAAAAAACAAACAAGATCTAAAATATTATTTCTACAGTGAAATTTTGTTTTTATGCTTTATAATGCAAAACCACTGAATTCAATAACACAAAGTGATGAAGGCAAAAATAAAAAAGCTCTGCTGCAATTTTTTTAATCAAATACTACACAATGAAAATGTTCTTAATAGTCCCCTTCCCAAAGAAACAAACATCATGCACATGAAGGCCAAAAATCTACCCATTAGAATTGCCAAGTCAATAAAAACATCAACGTTTTGGACATTTACTGCTTAAAAAATGGTATCTTTATTTAGATCACATGCTGGATGATAACTCCATGTCAATATATAACATGCTAAACTCACTAGTCATCACCAGATATATTCAATCAAAAATAATTTTGAAAATATTTTATGTTAACTAATATACACATGTCTTTCTGGAAAACCTCCTTCAAGCGAAACGTCACAATCATTGTGCAAAATCAATATCATCGTCACCGTTTCACACCATATGACAGCATACCGAATCCTTCTAATCAATTGTTTTCTATTTGTTTCACTATAGAATAGGTTCCTGAAGAAATTACTTTTAGGAAAATAATCACCATCAAAAAAGGAAAATAATCAAACACTTAATATGCATTCAACCTATTATAGATCGTATTTCAATCCCCAAAAACACAAAAGCACATAGGAGATACGAAACTTACTCGATTGAACTGAAGAATGAATTAGATGAAAAAAGTATACTGGATTTTTTTTTCCTTGCTCTTGCCAACATGTACAATAAAAATATAGAAATTTTGCCCACAAGATGAGTATGGTGATTGCTTGCTCTCGGATCCCTAATATAGCCGTAATAGCTGATTTTTGGAGGGAAATATTCTCCATAGTTCTTGGAGGAAAATTGATAGCGTTGTTGTGAGATAGAGAAGAAGGAAGAGTAAATTTAGCGAGAGAAGGGGGAAAGTGAAAGATAAGAAAGTTGACTTCATGAAGGACAGATGTGGAAAACATGAAATATTATGCACTGAATGCTAGAAATTATTGCGGCAAAATCGCCACCCTTTAAAATTTAAAAACCTTCCAACCAGAATAAAAGATTTGGGTAAAATAAGATAAGATCGGGTAAGATTTGCTCTGGAGTATTTGAAAACAGAATTTTCTACCGGATGATTACTTAAGTAATATATATTTTTTCCTTATCTTTTTTCCTTAGAGTTTTTTAACCAAAGATAAAACTTTTTTTTCCTTTTTAATAAATAAAAAAATAGAAAAAATTGCTAGCCTTACGTGGCAAGCAGAAAACTACTCCAGTTCTCTCTCTGGGTTTTCTTTTATTAAGTTATATAGATGTGTTAAAATTTTATGTAAAGGTATTATTGACAGTTGAAATTTTTTTGCTCTTTATATAACAATATTGCTCTGTATTTATCAATTGCCTATATAAATGGTTCGGTCAATAGTTGTTCTTCTATAAGCCTTTGTTGTGGTGGCCAAATAGTATGGGAAAGCAGTCTCCGTACAATTTCGTTATAACAATTGATGTGAAAGGTTTTGGAGAGTCTGATCCATGGAGCCACCATTTTGGCTTCCGCAAAATTGAGAATTACATTGACAATGCCAATGGTGGAAGGTAAAAATCTACTCTTGAGACTTAGCTCTTCTTATCTTTGTTGTGACTTCTTGATTTCAACTTAGGTTGATGTATAATTTAAATGCTTGATCTTTTCTAATTTATCTAAATCTTTGCTAGGCTGTTTAAGGTGAATGGTGAGCTCATTTTCATTGTCAGATGGACCTCTTAGAGCAACATAATATGACAGACATCAAATTTCACGCTGACATGAATTTTAACATGTTCCGCTGTTGGGGTGAAGGACTAGCTGAGAGGCTAGAGCTTTTATCACTATTGTGATATACGGCATCCTGGTGTTCGAGTCAAAATTGTATTTGAGGGTGAAGATCGATTCGGCTCAAACTAAATTCAGACAACTGTGTAATATTCTTACAATCTGAAGCCCAGTCATTGAAGTTGTTCAAGGATGTCGATACCTTCGACTCGCAATCAACTCGAAGACTTATGCGTTTGACAATGAAATAATAAAGAGATTCGAAAAGATGAATAAAACGGCCAACAAAGGCCAGTTTTGTTGACTTGATAAAAACGAATCGACTATGAACAGCCAGAAACGTCAAAAGCTTACAAGAATTAATACTGAAAAGTAAAGAGATACGTGAAAGTTGAAAATAAATGATAAAAAACTATAAAGAACTAAGAATTTGATTTTCGTATGATGAATTGTGTGTGTCTTGATGTCTTTCCTTTCTAGCTTTTATAGATGGTTGGCCAACCCTAGCAGAAATGCAACAGAAGTCGAATGCGATAAGGACTTGTGTTACGGTTGGAATCCTTCTCCGACAAGGATTGCAATATCGACGACTCCTTCTCCGATTCAAACTGTCGATGGCCGTTTCTTCTCCAATTTTCTTGCGGGCTTGATAATTCCTTTACTCCTTTTGTTGTTGCTGCGATCGGCCCAACTCGTGTGGACCAGATTAGCTAAAATCCGGTCCAACACTTGGTAACTACAGTATTCTCGGTTTTGCTTTCTTGCTAAAAACCCTTGTCGATCCGAGTCTGTTTGTTGCTGTTGCAATTGTGAAGGAAGAATGGACGGTACTAGTGATGCCAATCCCATGGCTTATGACAAAGCCAAAGCTGGAACCCATGGCGTGAAACCAGAAGACATCGATTTCTTGCAACCATATGAAGAATATGTTATGTTGTCGTTCAACCGATCTTCTCGCCACTTCACTCTTGGCCCCAATTTTCCACCGGCGTCGGAAAGTCTCAAAGAATACGTTCCGATGTTAAGCCCAGATGATGCTTACCACAAATACGGGAATCACTGTAAGTTTGATAATTTTGATAGGATTCGGGTATGGCCATGGTCTGACAAGCCAGAGATACAAGATGCGTTTGTGCAATGGTACCAGGAATTAGAGCCGGAATATGGAGATACCTGGAGGATGGCTGGGATTTATGATTTGTTGCAATTTTGTACCATAGGGCTTGGAGAGAGCTGGGATTTGGTGGAAGCAGTGCTAGTGTTCTGGAGTGACACCAGTAATGTGTTCTGCTTTCCTTGGGGACTGATGACACCCACCTTGCTGGATGTTTGTGTGATTACCAGTCTGTCTGTCATTGCAACCGTAGCCATGGATGGGGATGTAACAGATGATGATGCAGCTGCAGCAGCTGCAGCGGCTGCAGGTCAACCAAGGAGTTATGGTCCCTTCATTAATGAGAACAAAGGGAAGTTAAGTCGCCTACACTATATTCGCTTTCTGGCTCTGTGGTTGAACAGATATGTGTTTCCTGGAAAATCCTTTCAAATGACTATGAATTGGTATCATGTTGCTGGTAGATTAGCTGCGGGGGAACAAATGAATTTGGTTCAAGCTGCTCTGGCCATGCTTTATCACTGTCTACATAAAGGTAGGCATAATCCAGGTTCAACTTTATGTGGTCCTATCTACTTGTTGCATTTTTGGTTGTACATGTATTTCTCTAATTTAAAACCAGAAGGAATTTTTCCTGTTGAGAGTGGAGAATCTCTTAGCCTTGGAGTGAAACAGTATAGCAGACCAACTTTCAATGGAACGCAGGTGTTCGAAACTGTTTTTGAATCTAGCCCAGACATAGTGTGATGGTTCAACAACTGAGCCATGACTGGTGGCATAAGAGCTTTCGCAATATTTGCCATTCAGAGGCAGAAAGTGAGAGATGGGATAACATTGGTCTGTTTGGCTTGACATCAGTTTGGAGCCATCTGCTGTGAACGAGAAATATCTTTTATGGAGTAAAAGTGTGCAACCCCGCAATGTTGGTGCTAATATGCTTGCCGAATATTACCCTACGAACATGGTAGCCCGCCAATTTGGGTTTGCACAAAGCGTCCCACATTTTGAAGTAGCTTGTTGGAACACAGGAAGACTTGGCAGGGAGAAATTGACCACGCGCAGTATACAGCTCACGAGGAATTGATGGCTGTCCGGGGCAGAACCTCTCCAATAACACCCTTTAAATTCTGCTTTGCAGCAACACCTGGGTTTACTGAATGGTGGGGTGAACTTTCGACTACGATGTATGGCTCTGGGTATGAGGCGATCAAGACTGCATTTTGGATTGGGAAATATGTGAAACCCAAAGTTGCTACTGGTGAGGCTGTAGCAGAACCAAAAGGCTAGACATCCTCTTTGAGATTTTTATTGTTGCGGCTTATAATCACATAACTGTCGAAACATTGTCACCGTAGGAAAAAACAAAGATGTGGGGAAAGCAAAAGCTGGTGGTCAGAAGACCAAGAAATCTGTTACTGTTGCAGGAGGAAAAGCTAAGTCGAATTCTGCGAAGCGAGCTCCAACCACAACTCGCCGGTCCACCAGACTAATTGGACAAAAACGTTTTGCAAGCAAAGCCAACAACAAGGTAAAGTAGCACAATCATCTTGTCATTGTACTAGGTTTTGAATGTGTACCAAATTTGAATGTAGAATTCGTGTCACAGGAAACTCGGTGACTGTCCATGGTAGTGATGAGGAATTGGATAGTCAAGAAAGTGAGAAAGGCTCTGTTGCACTTGGAGAAAGCGCTGCTACCAGGAGAATTGAGTCGGAGTCTGGTGGAACTAAGAGTAAGAAAAATTTAAGAGTGGCCACTTCATCTACGCAACCGAGTTCTGTAAAGAAAGCTCCCCCATCTATTGCAGCTCTGATGGCTCGGTTGGAACGAACCAAAGCAGCATCATTCATTAAAGTAGGCGTCGCCTCCAATTCACCTAATATCCCCTTGGGTGTTGCTTTGCAACAGATCGCTGAAATGTTCCAGCTTCCAGCAGAAGAAGTGTATAACACAAAGTATGACCAGTTGAAAAATCTGTTGTCCACGATCCAAACCTTTCTTGTTGATGACAGCATGGTAGCAGCCATTCGGCTAATCCTGGTAGAAACGACACAGAAACAGATAGAGTGTCAAGTCTGTGTGCCACATATTGAAGAATATCAAGCTGTTTACGCCTTGCAAGAAAAGAACAAAATGTTGTCGGAGCAATTAGTAGACCAGGCAGCGCAACTGAAAGCCAAAATCAAAAAGAAAATGGCGGAAGAAGTAGAGCTAAAGGCGTAACTGGAGAAAGTGCATGCCAAACAAGTGGACTTAGAATCTACTTTGGGTGTTGTGACTGCAGATACTGATGTTGGACTTGGGGAGTACGAGAGTATGACTGAAACAATGAAAAAACTGCACCCTAAGTACCAAGATGCTCAACAGGTTGTGAAAGGAGCTCAGGCGAGTTGGAATTTCCTGAAAAACACAATTACTCGTTTGATGCAAACTGTGGGAACAGCTCCAAATTCTCCTGCTGCCATGGATCAGGTGCATCCAAACCAACCAGTAGTGATTCCAAATGTAGGAGGAGGTGTCGCACCAGAGGAGGCCTAGCAAGATGTGCTACCAAACGATGAAGAACCCTTGAAAATTCAGCCTTTGCACAGCATGCTAGCATCGCCTCCTGCTTAAGAATTTTTGTTGCAGTTCATCTTTGGTTGTTTATTCTGTTCGGTAGGGTTGGTGAACTTTGCAGCGACTATGTTCCTACACGAAACAAACTTTTGTTTCTTCCATTAATAATAAACATGTTTTGCTGCTTAATGATATCTGCCATTGGCGATATCCCTTGCCAATTGTTGTTCTTAAGTGTTGAGTTGGTCCCATGCAGTAGCAAAGTACTTGCGCAAGAATGCAGAATTGATTAATCTGTTTGCAACTATTCCATCCATGTCCTTTAAAGTACCCCACGACCTAAATGTCGGCGTATGATGTAAGGGCCTTTCTCTGTAGGGCTTCACTTCCCATAAAGCTCGATCTTTAGAACCTAAAGGCAAAACTGCTTTCCATACTTTGATGCTAAAATTAAAGTACTTATGCCGAACAAATTTGTTGTAAGCACGGATGATTCCAGCCTTTTGGTTAATGATATTTTACATTGCTGAGTTTCGGCTGTGAGATAAGTTATCTTGATCAACCTGCATTGTTGTAGCGTAATCGGTTGAATCTAAAGGAAATTGTTGACGAATCCTAAGAGAGGGTAAAAGATGTTCAATGGGCAAAACTGCATCATGTCCATAAATCAATTCATATGGAGTTGCCTTGGTGTTACCCCGCTGCGTCACTCGGTAAGCCCAGAGTCCTTGCCGCATGATTTCATGCCACTGTCTTGGATTATCAGATATTGTTTTTTGGATGATTCTCTTCAATATCTTATTTGTCGATTCAGCCTGACCATTGCCTTGCGCAAAATAAGGGAAGAATGTGTTAGAGAAAAATCCATATCTTTAGCGAGCTGCACCATTTCTTGACCAATAGAGTATTGTGCCTGATCTGTAATGATTGTTTCAGGCAGTCCAAACATGTAAATAATATGCTCTTGGTAGAAAAATATGACTGTTTTCTGATCCACATCTTTCAAAGTTACCGCTTCTACCATTTAGTGAAATAATCTGTTGTGACTAAAACATACCGGTGTCTAGAAGATGATGGTGGATATATCATGCCAATAATATCGAGAGCCCAACAACGGATAGTCATGGCTTGACTATGAATTGCATTGGCTCTGGGTGTGTATGCGGAATATTGGTGTGTTTCTGGCAATCAACACACCCTATAGCAAAATTGATACAATCTTGGGTCATAGTTATCCAAAAATAACCGTGGCGACGCAGTAACCAAGCCATTTTTTGTCCGCCTTGATGCACGCCAAAGAACCCTTCATGTGTTTCAAGAATCAACACCATGTATTCTGGCTTGCTTAAGCACCGAAGGAAAACCTCATCTGTTGTTTTGCGGTATAAAAGTCCTTGCAACAGAACATAATTTGGCGCTTGTCGACATATAGACAATGGTGTGTGATGAGTTGGTTCTTGTAAGAACTTTATTATCGGTGTCCACTAATCGTCTATTGGATTAATTGTTGCAACCGTAAGGATCTCTTCGAGATTGTATCGAACATGCGCCGGAGTATCAAAATCTACGGTGTCATAAGCAATATCCGGGTCAACTGGCATTATGAGATACCCAGAAGCTAACTGTGCCATGTTGTTGGCATCAACATTGAATTCCCGTTCAACATTGTAAAACTCAATATGTTAGAAGTGAGAAGCAAAGACATCACCGACAGATGCATATTTGGACATGATTTCATCATTGTGATCCATCAACTTTTTCATCTGCCCAATAACTAACGCAGAATCCCCAATCACCTTGGCATGAGTTGCACCATTATGTAGTAATGTTTACAAGGCATGGACTAGACCTTCATACTCCGCCTGATTATGGGTTGTACGGAAATTTAGACTAATCTGGCAACGGAGCTTCTGTCCGTGTGGAAAAGTAACTACTATCCCAGCACCGCTACGCGTGAAAGTTCTGGATCCGTCGAAATGTACCGTCCAGAGTGGTTCATCTACATGGTGCACCTGAAATGACTCGGGGAATGCATCATTCCAATCATCGTCAAGTGAAGGATGTGCAGCTAAGAAATCCACGAGTGCTTGCTCCTTTACTGCCGATTGGGGTACATGTTGAAATTGATACTCCATCAAGGCCAGAACCCATTTTCCTATTCGGCCACTCATTGTTGGTCGGTGCAACATGTACTTGACCAGGTTGATTTTACTAATGACACAAACTAAACGAGGCAGCATATCATGGCGCAACTTGATCGCAACAAAATATAGTGATAAACACAACTTTTCAATCGGAGGATATTTGCGTTCTGTGTCGGTAAGCATGCGACTTAAGTAATAAACGGCTCTTTCAAATCCATCATAGCCATCCTGAGCTAATAAACAATCTAATGACTCTTCAGTTGCCGACAAGTAAAGTTTTAATGGCTTGCTCTTGATCGGTACAACCATAACTACAGGAGTGGATAAATCTAATTTGATATCTTGAATCACATGATGTTGCTCCTCCTTCTACACAAAATCTTCGGCTGCTTGAACCTTCAAAAGTGGAGAGAATGGCTTCAACTTCTTAGATAGGTATGCTATGAATCGGCAAAGGAAATTAACTTTGCCGATTAGCCGATTAAACTTTGTAATTCTTTCTTTGTTCGTGGATGTCTAGCTTCAATAATTGCCTTAGCCTTTTCAGCATCCACCTCAATGCCCCTGGACTGAACTTAGAATCCCAAAAACTCACCGAATGAGATGACGAAGCGCATTTTAAGGGGTTCAACTTTAACTGATATTTCCGTATACGCTCAAAGCATTGCTGCAAATGTTGCAAGTGTTCCAAAAAGGAATGTAACTTCATTACTACATCATCTATATAAACCTCCGAGACATTCCCAATAAGGTCATGGAAAATATAATTCATTGTCCATTGATAGGTTGTTTCTGTATTTTTTTAACCCAAATGGCATCACTTTCTATTGAAAAATTCCTAAAGCTCCTGGTGCACGAAAAGCAGTTTTATGAACATCTGCAGGGCTATAAAAATTTGATTGTATCCAGCGTTGCCATCTATAAAACTCATGACCTAAAAACCTGTCAAACCTATCAATTAGTGTTTCCGCAATTGGCATCTGATATTCATCTTTTGGTGACGCCAAATTGAGATTACGGAAATCTCTACAAACTCTTGTTTTGCCGTTTTTCTTGATGACAGGAACCACATTGGATAACCATTCAACATATACTGCAACTTCGATGAAATTAACTGCCGGTAGGCGCTCAATCTCTTCCTTTACTTTGACAACAACTTCTTCAGAAAATCACCTTGGTGGTTGTTTGAACAATTTGAAACCCTTCCTCAACGAGATACTATGCTCAGCTAAACTGCGATCTAAACCTGGCATTTCTGTGTAGTCCCATGCAAAATAATCACGGTATCGTTGTAACAAAGAAATCAATTGTTTCTTTTCATTGGTTTTCAAAGAAGAACTAATGTAGCTAGGTTTTTCCTTGCCTGATGATCCTAAGTTTACTGCTTCAACTAGCTCTTTGGTAACAACTGCGTCATCGCTTAGTTTTGGTGTTGCAGGGGCTAATTCATTCAAATCTATCACATCACTGTCAAAAATTGGATCAATATCATAAATCACCTCATCCCAACATATTGTAGGCGTGGCTGCCTGTCGGCGCTCATTTTCAAAATACTACAACATGTGCCGAATTGTTTCCTGTTTCCTTTTCGCTTTCGATAACTCAACATCTAAATCACCTGTACTCAGAACTTGTAACTGTTCAATTGTCTTTATTGGAAACTTCTTCAATAGCTGGTGCAGCTGGCAACGGCCTTAACACGTTATAATTGTACGATTTGTTAACTTCTTGCAAAACCAATTTCCATTCAGGAAGATTCATATCTCTATGCATAGTGGCCTGTTTTGGCCGACCATATTTATCCATACCAATAAGCCGATACGGACCCACTTCATGATCATAGTAATAAGATTCCACAACATTGGCTTGTGCTGCGAAAGGACTTGTGTCAGCTAGATAATTTCAGGACCTTCTGCTCCCCATAAAATAATTGTTTGGTGTAGAGACGACAGAATACATCTTGCTGAATGAATCCAATCTCAACCAAGGAGAGCATTGTAAGATGCTTTGGTGTCAACCACAAAGAATGCTGATACCACTATCTGCGATCCTACTTCCACTTGCAATGGCAAAATGCCTTTAGTACTTGTGACATCTCCTGTGAATCTACTCACAGATACTTCAGTAGGCACTAGATCTTCTAATTGCTTACCTAGCTTATGTAATGCTCTTAATGGTAGAATATTTATATCTGCACCATTGTCCACTAATATTGTTCTCAACGGGATTCCATCTATGACGGCGCAAATGTACAATGGCCTGATATGAGATGCAACATCCTCTGCAGGTTGAGAGAGCATGATAACTGGATTTCTTCCTTCTTTCGAAAGTAACTGAATTCCACTAACTGTAGTATCATGTGGTTCCGTCACAAACGAAGTTACTTCTGGAACTGTAACCTTGTTTTCAACAGTCTTTGGAACTAGGGCTATCGTAGATGGAGGGGTTTTCAAACAAAAAGACTTCGGTAGAGTATAAACCATGTTTACTGGCGGGAAATATGTATATGACTTTCTCCATAATTGTGATCGTCTGTCCTCTTGTCCTGAAAATCTTATCATCGGCATTCCTTGCACTATTGGTGATTCAGGCTTTGTAAGTGCTTTGTCTTCCTCTGAATCTGCCCTGGCTTTCTTATTAACTACCCTTTGCCATCGACGTTTTGGAGTCTTAGTCATCTTGGCTCCTGTCGATGTTTGGTTGGGGAATTTTTGATGTGTTGCACGATGCCATTCTCTATCATGTACCGATGATGTTCTAACTGCCCTTGGCGGAACATTATTCTGTGGTACAGGTCTCCCAATTTGTTGCCATACTGACGGTCGGTCAGTGATTCTGATCATAACGTTGTTCATTAATCCTTTTAGTGTTGATAAGTTTTCCTAATCTTGCCTGAACAGTGATGCGCCTTTGCGGCAGAGGAGTTACTTGTCGTTTGTCTGAATGCTGTGCATTTGGCTGTCGATTTTGATTCAGAGCACTCAAGATGGCATCTGATACAACCCGTAACTTTTCCTGTTCTGGATCTAAATTTGCTTCTTTTTGTACCCAAGTCTGTGCTTGCCCCTTTATAACAATGTTCACTTTTATTGCAGTTGGGCACGAGGCTTGTAGATGTAAATGTCTTCCGAATTTAGATCCTAACTCATGAAGCTATCATTTGACTCGGCTAAAAACTTTGTCGCACTCCTCACAACTTGTGATTAGACATGTTTTATGGACGTGACCTCCAAATCCTAAATCAACCATTCGGACTTGATGTTGTTGCAGAAAATGATTGGTTTTCATCTCTACTGGATCTTCCACTATTATATTGCCATCATCTATCATTTTTTGAAGCTTGTTATGGAACACTACACAATCGTTTATGGTATGAGTCCAAGACATATGATATTTGCAATATGTCTTTTTTCACTACATCCGCAGACTTTGGTAGTCGGTACCCTTTCTTGTACTGAATATGACCTTTCTTAAACATATCATCAAAGATAGCCTCTTGTTGAGAAATGTTGAAAGAATAAACCTAGCCAATATTAGCTCCGTCAGCTTGTCTTGGAGTTCATGGCGGTGCTCCTACTGGTGGAAGAGTGTTATAAGAATGTGGCACCACAGGTCGACGTAATGCATCACAAGTATAATTTCGGACATTGACAATTTCAACAGCATGAACATCATACTCATCGTCATTTTCATCATGGACCCAATGGCTTTGATTTACTTCTGCTAGTGGATTCTTGTTAAACCATTACTTTGCCTTTCCTGGATTCTTTTCTCGTTTATCCCTGATTACCTTTTCACACCGTCTTACAGTATCTACCAAGTGATTCAAAGATCGGACGGAATGTGGTCCAACAGCTAATTTTACCGTGTAATCTTGAATTCCTACAACTGTCATCTTAACAATAGTTGGTTCTTCATACTTGTCAGGTATTTTATCATACATCTGGCATAACCAAATTAAATATGCTTCTGCAGTCTCCCCAAACTTTTGCTGGATCTCTGGCAAGTCAACAATTGACAACAGTGCAGTATCCCTGCGGAAGTATGATAGGAATTCTAGTTGTTGAATATCCCATGATGGAATGGATCCTGGTGCTAGTGATCTATACCAATCAAACGCAGTTCCCTTAAAGGAATAAGGAAACAAACACAATTTGATTAAAGCATTATTGCTCACTGAACCACATTGCAATTTAAACAAGCTTATGTGATCCTCAGGTCGCTTCTTATCTTCTCTTGAAAACTGTTGGAAATCAGGGATCTTAAAATTTCTAGGCAACGGTTCAACAAAATCAGGGTATGGTTTTCCTAGAACCTCTGAAATCTCTGTACCCAACTCTTTACGTACCATATCCTCTACCATTCTTGAAAATGTTTCCTCAGCATTTAAAGTCTGTTCAACCCCTACTTCAAAATTCTGTTGCTGATTAACATTTACTGTTGTATCTGGTTCTTGCTGAAACTCATTACCAAGATCCGCTCGTTGATGACCACCTCTCTGACCCCAAAACCGTTGTTGCTGCGGATTGTGTCGATTTTCCAGCATTCTGATTTCCATAAGGCCGACCTACAACTTGTGCCCTATTTCTATTCAAAATCTGATTTGCTTCATATTCCATCCACTGTTGTTCTTCCCTGTTTTCTTCCACTGTTGGATCCGGCGGAACAACCTATGGATTGGCAACCACTACGCCAGATCCTTGAGGCATATGTGGATCGGCCAAGTTTGCAGTTGCAGTAGTATTTACTTATATTGGTGGCACATCACGATTCTGGTACATTATAAAACGGCGGTCATTGCTTCCTTGTGCATTCGGCCCGCTCTGGAGTTTTAACAGTAGAACCTTGATTAATTCCTGCACCGGCAGGACCTTGAAGGAAAGTTCTTGATGTTCCTTGCTGTCCCATAGTTATTCTCGGCGTACCCTCTTGCCTAAGCACCTGCACTGGAACCATCGCTGGCCCTTGCTGGTTTTGAACTGGCAGTGGTTGGTGCTGAATTACCGCGTTTTGCAACTGAGACTGGTTTGATGACTGTACATGTCCTGTAGTATCACTTCCTATTATAGTTCCCGAATATTGTACTTCTAGAGTTATTGGCCAAGCCACTTGATAATTCTGATGAGGTATATGCCCGAATGGCGTTCCAAGTATCATTACTTGTCTGTTGTATGGAGCAGATAACGGAGGTAGTTGACGCCCGTTAAACGTGAAATTCCCCTATGGCGAAATAAAAGCCGGTTGACTTGGAATTACCGGGTAATACTAGCTATGCAACCCATGTCCTGACACATTTGTGGCAATTTTGGATCCACTATTACTTGATCCTGGCCCTGCGTGTTGTACCGGAGTATCTGTTGCAGACGGTTGAAATATAGCATTATATAAAGGATTGTTTACCACATTAACCGGAGATACTTCGCATTGAGTTGTTCTTGTAGGTGTGTTGTTACGCACCATTGTTGATCCGCTAGCATCAGCACTCCCTGAATTCATCCTTTGCTGATTTATCATTTGTAAAGCTTGATCAAATTATGCTACCTCTGTAGCTACATGATGTTCTAACGCCATAAACCTTTGTTGTGTCATCTCTGGTGTCATCAACAGAGTCTGATCTTTATGGCCCTGATTATCAAACACCGAAGTCTAGAATTGCGGGCTTTGAAACCCTAGAGTCTGAAAACCCGGACTTCTGTAAGACCCGAGAAAACTTGATCTCTCACCAAAAACGCTAGATCCGGCGATAGACTGTCATCTTATACCGGATGACTGATCCGTTATAACCATTGAGAATGAATCTATCACCGAAATATGAGAAAACGTACTCATTGGTAAAACACTCCCACTTGGCGTAGAAGTCTGGATCGGTGTTGACACTTGTTATGCAGATGGAATTGCTATTGACTTTCGAGGCATCGATATTGTTCTTTTATTCAAACAACGCCTGGAACACGCAAATCGGTCCCAGCAGGCATGGCAAATTTTATGATCGAGTCAAAATTGTATTTGAGGATGAAGACCGATTCGATTCAAACTAATTTCAGACGACTATGTGATATTCTCAAAATCCGAAGCCCAGTCATTAAAGTTGTTCAAGGATGTCAATACTTGCGACTCGCAATCAACTTGAAGACTTATGCGTTTGACAATGAAATAATAAAGAAATTCAAACAAATGAATAAAAAGGCCAACAAAGGCAAGTTTTATTGACTTGATGAAAACGAATTGGCTGTGAATAGCCAGAAACGTCGAAAGCTTCAAGAACTAATACTGAAAAGTAAAGAGATACATGAAAGCTGAAAATAAATGATAAAAAGCTATAACGAACTAAGAATTTTATTTTTGTATGATGAATTGTGTGTGTCTTGCTGTCTTCCCTTTCCAGCTTTTATAGATGGTTGGCCAAACCTAGCCGAAATGCAACAAAAGTCGAATGCGATAAGGACTTGCGTTGCGGTTGGAATCCTTCTCCGACAAGGATTGCAATGTCGACGACTCCTTCTTCGATTCAAACTGTCGACCATCGCTTCTTCTCCAATTTTCTTGTGGGCTTGATAATTCCTTTTGCTCCTTTTGTTGTTGCTGCGATCGGTCCAACTCGTATGGACTAGATTTGCTAAAATCTGTCCAACACCTGGTAACTACAGTATTTTCGATTTTGCTCTTTTGCTTTCTTGTATGATTTATTTTGGGGATTACGAGGTTCATATCCTTTTGTCTATGTTGTTTACCTTTGTGCACCACTATTGGTAGAGTCAGATAGCTTGTCTCTAGGTTTGAATTGTAAAGGTCTATAAAAGGTTTTGTTTGTAGTATGGATTTGCAAAGAGTGGAGATTTCTCTGATGATCCTTATGAAACGCAGAGGATTTTTTCAAGAATGATTTTCAGTGTGATTTTAATCCTGAGGTTGGTTCGGTAGGAACCTGAAAAAAAAAACTTACCAAGAAAAATCAATTATAAACCTTATCAAGCAAAATACATAAAAGCCATAATCTTCTCTAATGATTTTATTACTTGAATAAAATCATAAATTTTGGTCAAAACAAGCGAGAAATGGAAGTTGGGCTGTTAAAGAAAAGGCTCGACAAATAACACCATTCACTCGACAAAATGACTGGCCCAATTCACTCTGATGCCCGTTTACGCACAGCAGCCCAGTTCACTACAGTATATTGACTCTCTGACTGAAAAATTGCTTTTTGCAGAGAGAGAATGCAGTAGCGAAGAAGAAGAGGAAGGGCTGAAAGAAGACCTTTTTTTCTCCATTTGGCGCCCAAAGATTCGGATTCCCACCTCTACCCTTCTTCCTTTCCTTAAATTACCCCCCAAATTCCTTCTCCGTCGTCGTCTCTTCCGATTCCCCGCGACTCTTCCCTTTCACTTCCTTCAAGTTCCGGCGCTGTGTTATTTTTTATATGTGAACTATCATTACGTCTCTCTGCAATTTTACTTAATTTGGAACATTGTGGCTTAAAGTCAGCCGGAAGATATGGTTACCGACGAGCAGTTATCGGCTATTAAAGTAGTATTCGAGTCTAATGGAGTTATTTTCTAGAGCTTATGTTGCTAGTTGATTGCGTTTTGGTGAATTTTGGTGAGTTTTAGTTGTTTTGGGGTTTGATGAAAAAAGGCGCTTTCTTTTTTAGGGTGCGAAAGTGCTAATGGTGGGTGCCGGCGGTATTGGATGTGAGCTGCTCAAGACACTTGCTCTGTCTGGTTTTCAAGACATTCACATCGTCAGTACACTAATTCTTGTGGTTTATTTTAGTTGTTATTTTGTTTATTTTGTGTTCCTTTGTATTTTTTGGGTGCTTCTAGGGTTTTCTCTTCAGGGTTTTAACAGCTATTTAATTTAGTTATCCGTTGCTTGTGTTATTTATAGTTTTGGGTTTTGGTTTCATCTCATAATTATTGTAAGGGATAATTGGGGAATTTGATTGGAATGGGGCTTAAAGAACCACTAAACCTGTTTAAGGAAAAAGAAACCAAGTTGCAATATTTGAACGGGAGATCTTTTAGCAATATTCGGGGTTTGAAGTTTTGAAGAAGATACGATTGTTTCATGCTGTATAACTGACCGAGTCCCCTAGGTGCATCTGGAAAAATTTTGTTTCAAAAAAGAGCTGGCATTTAGTCTAACTTGCTCAGCAATTGAGTAAGCTTGAAATTAAAAGTATTCATACAGTTTATATCTGGCTACGTACAAGTTTATTGAAGAATAAATTTTATTGAGGCTGGTGGCTACTCATCAAATGTGATGGGAATGTTATTTGAACGCTATGAAAACAGTTTTGTGGTATCTCCCATTGATGAAGTATTCATAGTCGGTGCAGCACATAGTCGTAGCATTACTGAATTAGGAAAAATATGCGCAACCTATCAATAACTGTCTATCATATGGATTTTTCTTAATGATGGTTTGTAATGCCTTGCAGATTGACATGGACACCATTGAAGTGAGTAACCTGAACAGGCAATTTTTATTTCGGCAATCACATGTTGGGCAATCTAAAGCCAAAGTGAGTCATTATCTCTGTACTTCATAGTGATACATAAGCATGCAGGTTCTATCTGCCAATTAGCATGCCGCTAACTTGGTTTTTTTTTTTTTGGCTACATTAAACCAGGTTGCTCGTGATGCGATTTTAAAAGTTAGGCCTAATATTAACATCACACCGTACCATGCAAATGTTAAGGATCCGGATTTCAATGTTGATTTTTTTAAGGAATTCAGTGTTGTTCTAAATGGGCTTGACAATTTAGATGCCAGACGGCATGTAAATCGTCTCTGCTTAGCTGCTGGTGTTCCCTTAGTTGAAAGCGGAACAACTGGATTTCTGGGACAGGTATTTTATGTTCCTATTGTTTTGTACAATACATACATGGATAACTCTCAGCTGAGACTACATAGCCAAAGGAACTCTCTTAATCTTCGCTTTTAGAATATAAAGTGCTTTCATCTGGCTTGAATGTATTCCTTGATTTGTGTATGCCTGTATATGCGGATTAAGGTGTAAGTTAACTCAGCTTGTAGTAAATTGTTATCTTTGACCTTTCAAATGTGTATTAAGTCCTTTTTTTTTCCCTGCTGGGAGGATTAAGGCAATGAAGTTCTAGTTATGTTTGACCGCAGGTTGTTGTCTTTTATTTTATGCTTTGCAAATTAAGAAAGTTTCTTAATTATCCTACATATACGTAACTTTTGCTGATACTTTCTTCTTGTTTATATCTTACTGGATCCAGGTAACTGTGCATGTGAAAGGCAAAACTGAGTGTTATGAATGCCAGCCTAAACCAGCTCCGAAAACCTATCCAGTCTGTACTATCACAAGCACTCCATCAAAGGTGCTTAGCCTTCTCATTTTTTATCTACTTTCTTATCATATGTGATTTTTTAAATAAAACATATGTGGTTATATACTCTGGATTTAACGAGGTAGTTGATTTGCTGGTCAGGTAAGCAAATTAAAAGCATTATCTACATGGATTGTGGAACTTGAGTCTGAATTATTTTTTGATTTCCCTAAAAAATGTCCAAAGATTTTCACCACTTCAACCCTTTAAGTGCTTCTGATGACTTTCATGTAATGAAATATTTGGATTAACATGCAGAGATAGTTCGTGTTTAGTTCTCTTTTTAAGGCAAATATTGCCTTTCTACTGAGAACTGTAGTTCTTAAGGAAACAGATGAAATTTTACTCTAATTACCTCCATTAGGTGATAATGTATTTGACAGAAGTAAATTTCTTTTTGGATGTTGCAGTTTGTTCACTGTATTGTGTGGGCAAAGGACCTTCTATTTGCTAAACTATTTGGGGACAAGAATCAGGAAAATGATCTGAACGTACGTTCTACAGATTCATCTGGCTCATCCGAACATGTAGAAGATGTGTTTGAATGGAAAAAGGATGAAGATATTGAAGCCTATGGGAAGAGAGTTTATGATCATGTTTTTGGCTATAATATTGAAGTAGCTTTGTCAAATGAAGACTCATGGAAAAACCGTAATAAGCCAAGGCCTATATATATTAAAGATGTTGCACTTACTGAAGTGACACAACAAAATGGAGATCCCGATAAAACTTCTGTATCTGGTGATCCATTGTCAGTATCTGCAATGACAATCCTAGGTTTGAAAAATCCTCAAGATGTATGGGGCCTAGCTGAAAATTCAAAAGTGTTCCTCGAAGCTTTAAAACTATTCTTCTTGAAAAGGGCGAAGGTAAGATGTTTTCTTGCTTTGATGGGTTCAGAAGAATCTTATTTCCTTGTAGTGTAACTCAGATGCTCTCTTTGCTTTTATTGCTATTAGGAGATAGGAAACTTGAGCTTTGATAAGGACGATCAGTTGGCTGTAGAATTTGTAACAGCTGCAGCAAATATTCGTGCAGCTTCGTTTGGAATTCCATTACATAGCCTTTTCGAGGCAAAAGGTATTGCCGGAAATATTGTGCACGCTGTTGCAACCACTAATGCTATCATTGCTGGGTTGATCGTGATTGAGGCCATCAAAGTGCTGCAAAATAATGAGAAAAATTACAGGTAGATCCTGTTCCTGACTGATTTGACTTCATTTTTTTTTAAAAGTAAATTTGTTTGGTTAAATACCAGACTTCTTCTGTTATTTATAATTGGATTAAAGGTCTAAAATGGCAGATATTTTGGTATTTTACCATCTAACTTGAAAATAGAAACTGAAGACTGTGGAACTCCATTCCTGTAGTTTTATGAGAAGCAGATGTAATATTCTTCCCTGATGTATTAATTGCTGAAAATATGTTTATGCAGAATGACATATTGTCTTGAGCATCCAGCGAGAAAGATGCTTCTTATGCCAGTTGAGCCTTTTGAGCCCAATAAATCATGCTATGTTTGTTCTGAGGTCTGGAGCATGCCAATTTCTGGTTCTGAATTTTCCATAATTTAAAAATTTTTCATCTTCATTTGGTATACTTGAGCAACCCCTCATATAATGGTTGACCATGCATCCAGACTCCTTTGTGGCTAGAGATCAATACCAAGCGCTCAAAGTTGAGGGACCTAGTTGAAAAGATAGTAAAAGCAAAACTTGGCATGAATCTGCCTTTGATTATGCATGGATCAGCCCTTCTTTATGAGGTTGGTGACGATCTTGAGGAGGATATGGTTGCCAATTACACAGCTAATCTTGAAAAGGTACTCTATTTTCCACATTTCAGCTTGTGGTACTTTGTAAACTCGAAATTATCAATAGGTTTGGTCCTGATGGTGCTTTTCTGCGTAGGTGCTCGCTGAACTACCTTCTCCTGTCACTGGTGGTACAATTCTCACTGTTGAGGATCTTCAACAAGAATTAACATGCAACATTAATATCAAGCATAGGTTTGTTACTTTTGATGTGTCCTGTATTCACATTGTTTGGCTGTTTTCAGTGAGTTCATTGTCCTTTCTTTTTTGTGTGTGTTTTTGAAGAAGTTAGTGCATTGCCTTTGGTTAATTTATTATGTGCCTTTAGTATATGCATAAGACAAACTAACTTCTCAAGCTGATGAATGATGATAGTATGTGTAGCTGATGATCTGCATCACGTTTCTCTGTTTATATGTTGGTTTATATTAGCTATACATCTTATGGGAGTTGGGAAGATTGTCTTTCTCAAGATTCCTTGCAATCATTGCTTTTATGGAGAATCATTAATTTTACATTTGATTTGTGTTCATCTTCTACATTTGTGCGCCAGCCACCCCACCCCGCCCACCCCCGGGGAGGGGAAGTTGCTCTACTTTCCAATTGAAGTTTATTTAACACCTTTTTTTACCCTTCTTCTTTTAAAGGTTAGAAAACATAGAGGGGACTGGTTATAACCAGCCCATTGTTAAATGCTTTTAGATTTGATTCCTTTGCTCTTTTGTTTTATTTGATTCTTTTTCCTCTGCTTGATTCAGTAGTTTCTTCATTCTTCAGTTATCGTGCTAGACTGCTAGCTTTTGAATTTCATGTATTGTTCCTTCCCCTGAAAGCTGATGAGCTTCTATTTGCGCTGTTGTTGAACCACTTGGATTTCATTTCTTTTTTTTTTTTTTTTGCATTGACATGGGTCTTGAAGTTCATTCTCTATACATTTAATTTATTCCTGCAAGGGGACTCATATCAAACATTATAATTTCCATTTCTATTTTTGGGTAGTGAAGTTGTTAGTAGCGAATTTTATTAAAATTTCTTTTTGAAGGAAGAATTCGTAATGTTTTGATGAATAAAACTTGTTACTTTGTAGGGTTAAGATTGTATAAAAGTTATCAAATCATTTGCAGTTCTTTTTGGATGAGAAGTTTTCTTCTGTTGGGATATCTTTATTTTAGCAACTACTGCATTCTGGAAGACTAGATTGAGCTCATTTTTCTTTTTATCTTTTGTTAAGTGATCATTGAAGCATATTTTTCTTCGTTAAAACTTTCACTTTAGATTTTTTGGATTGCCTGTTTTTTACACCTGTATGATGCTGGCTCACTTTGAAGTGCAATTTGATTCTAAAATATTTGCAGAGAGGAGTTTGATGAGGAAAAAGAACCTGATGGAATGGTTTTATCCGGATGGACTCAACCTGTTGTTTCAAAGAATGGCGACATGTCGAAAGAGAACGGTGCTAGTACGTCAAACACATCTCAAGCTGTTTCTGTGGAGGCTGAAGAAGACGATGATATTGAAATGCTTCCAGCAGTTGGTGCTCCAGCTGGGAAGAAAAGAAAATTGTCTGAAGACTCAAATTTTGCTGGTTCAGATCTTCCTAGCGTTGTTGATGATAGTGAAGCTATTGCAATGCTCGATGAAAATGGGGAAAGGAAGAAAAAGAGGGTGCAATAGTTATCATCATCACAATGGCTGGATTTTTTCCAATGACTTATTTCTGTTTAACTTGACACCGTTTAGCTGAAGGGTAACTCTTTTACTGCCTGTAAATCTACAACTCTCTTCCCGTCTTTTAGGAACTTCAATTTTTGACCTGTGATGAAGCACCAATCAGAAGCATATGCTTTCTTACTTGATGGTTTTTGGTGTCTTGTAGACAGTGTAAAAAGAACAGTTAACGTTGGTTTGGTAGGTTGTAGTTCAAACTATCATTGTTATTCGTTTTGTTTGCTTTCTTTGTCTATAACGAAGGTAAAAAATATAGAGGGGGACCAACATATGCAAAAATATAAGAGTGTAAACCTTCTATCTCGTAATGAAATTATGTTTATTTTGCCCAACAGAAAACAAAAAAAAAGACAAAAGGCGAAGAAACAAAAACCATTAGCCTCGGAAGCCATTAAAAAACTAGTTTTAGTGGCGATTCACTATAATATTCGATTAGCATTCATATATTTGAAGGTTAAATGGCAAAGCCATTGAAAAACTAGTTTTATACGTAATACAATGTATTGATCTTCATTTTTTTTTTCTTTTTCTCTTTTTGTTTGATTTTGATGGGTTAAGTAGAGAAATGGTGCCCTATTTATCGCCCGTTGAGAGCAGCAAATTGAGCAAACATGGCTGTTCCTGAATGCTCATCAATGACTGGAACTTCAGCAGGATTTCTACTTTCAGCATTAGGAGAAGCAGCTGGCCTGTTATCAGAAACTGGTGTAGGAGGAGCAGGAGTAGATGCAGGGGCAACCACAGCAGCTGGGGCAGATGAAATGGGTGTGGTTTCCTCCTCAGTTTTTCCTTGTGATGAAGCTTCTTGCAACTGCAAAGCATATTCCAAGTTCCACAACACATCACCCATAGTCGGCCTATCAACTCCGTATTCTGCCAAGCATTTCTCTGCAGCTTCAGCAAACTTCTTCATTGATTCGGGGTTGATATGATTTGCCAATGTTGGATCAATGATTTTCTCGAGTAAGCCCTTTCGCTTCCACTGCATCGCCCATTCGGCCAAGTTCACTTGCTCTCTGGACAATGCAGGGTTGATGGCCGCTCGTGCACACAATGCTTCAAGTAGTACAACCCCAAATGAGTAGACATCTGATTTCTCAGTGAGTTGTTGTTTCCTGAAGTACTCGGGATCAAGGTACCCAAAACTTCCTTTCACTGCAGTACTGACATGGCCTTCTTGTTCAGATGGTCCATCTTTTGATAACCCGAAATCGGCCATCTTGGCTACAAAGTTTTCGTCAAGCAAGATGTTAGTTGTCTTCACATCACGATGAATGATTCCTTGAGCCGCGCCAGTATGGAGGTAATGAAGTCCACGAGCCGCACCAATGCAAATCTCCAGCCTTTGTTTCCAGGACAACGTTGGCATGTTCTTTCCATACAAGTGATCTCTGAATGGTCCATTGGCCATGTACTCATAAACCAATATCATTTCAGAATTCTCATCACAGTATCCGATCAAAGACACCAAATGACGATGCCTTAGCTTCGACAGCATTTGGATTTCTGTCTGGAACTCGTTTATACCTTGTTCAGATTGAGGGTTGCCTCGCTTCACAGCAACTTTTGTTCCATCATCAAGCTCTGCAATATACACATTCCCGAAGCCTCCAACTCCAATGATTGCGCTCGGATCCCAATTATTTGTGGCATCCTGCAGCTCGGCGAAAGAGAAATACCGACCTAATCCCATTGTCGATGAATAGAACTGACTCTTGCGAGACCCCAATGAATTCTTGCTGGACATAAAGCTAGTATCTCCAGCATGTAGTGGAAGCAACCATGATGAGAAACTTTTCGATTTATGCCAATCCTGAGGCCTCTTTTGCCACTTGACAGCCATGGCTCCCAAACCGACAAACGCCCCAAACATCATTGCGAATCCAACAGCAGCAACCGTGCCACGGCTTGGACCAATCGCCTTCTGGCCATCAACACCGTACTCTCCATCTAGGCTCCCAACAGAGTTATTCATTCTCAAGACCTCAAGGCCATTGAGAATAGCATTCTTCACACCTGTGTCCTGATTCATTGGGCCAATCTGGATGGTCATAGGATTGGTTAAAAGGGACGAATTCACGACGAAATCTTTGTAGTAAGCCATTGACAATCCGGTTGCCACCGTTGACAAATCAAGCCCTGAAATGCCCATCTTTTCATTAATGTACACATTGAAGTAGAGATCATTCAGCGATTTGCTGACGATATCGGCGAAATGCAACCGAACAAGGTAAGAAAATGAAGTATCAATATCCAGGTTCCAAGTCACATTGAAATTAGGCGCACCAACATTGGCATCTCCCATTTCAACAGCAGATGCATAAACAGAAGGCGGCGCAATCAACGGCGATTCTCCATCAGGATATTCGATCACATTCGGCGCAACGGATACATTCTTTCCTGCAAAAGGCAGCTTGAGGTAAGGCTCATCAGGTTGCCACGTCCGACCGAGGGTATCATTCTCGGAACTGATCAAACGGCCTCCAACATTGAGCCTGTAAACCGTCTGGTAAGCAATCTGTGAAAGCCCTGTATACTGCGAAACCGGAAACAAATTTGAACCCACGTCTTCAAGCAACAAATCAGGCGCAGAAACAAGCTCGATTCCATTGATGAAAGCCGCGGAACCCTTTTCAGGATTGAACTTGATCTCGAATCTCTCTGTGGTAACATTGACAAGATATTCCTTGACAACAGAGGTGGTTGTGTCATTAACCTGGAAATCATGGATAAGAACATACTGATCCGTGATCACCTGGAATTTCGCCTGTTGCAAATTGAATTCATTGTTAGCCAGTGGGAAGAAATGGAGGCGGATCCAGTGCCATCCTGGTCGTACAATGTGAAAAGCATAAGTCGCCGGTTCAACAAAGATTTTGGCAGAAAGATAGATGGGGAGGGGAACATTGAGATTGGCGGAAGGCGGCGAGACGACGTTAATGTCACGGCCTTTGTAGGACAACAATTTCCCTGTCTCCTGATCTGGTAAGAAGATGCGTTTATCAGGAAGGGTTGTTCTTGAAGATGAACCACAATCAATTAGATAATTGTCTTGTGGGGTAAAAGAATTAGGCTTTGCGGGTTCAGCTGTAACCTGAGCTGAAACATGATGGATGGAGTTTGTTGTTGCAACAAAAAAGAGGTAGAAAAGAACCAGGAGGACTGGCATTTTGGTTGAAGAAGGTAGAGATTGATGATGAAGAAGGTTTGTTTTTTTTCCTCTGGGCATCTCTTCCATCTCCTACCTTCCTCCTCAGGAGGATGATGAAACAAGATGTGTAACAAAAAAACAGAAATTTTAAACAATAAAATGGGAGATGTGTAAATTATACAAAATTTAATAAATCAAACCAAAAAAAAAAAAAAACCGAAAAAGGGAACATCCCAAGTTTTGCTTTTGTCACTCTCAAATTTTTTTTTTTTTTTTTTACCGTTTTCCTTTTTTGGGAGGATTAGTGGTTAGAGAAAAATGATTTTTCCTTAGATTCTGTGTTTGGTTTGCCAATATTTTCGCCATGAATGAGAGATGTAAGGTTGGAAGAAAAAGGAACATTTTTTGAATTTCTGTTATTTATTAATGTAGGCGCCTATTTTTATTTTCCTTGCAAGTAGCAAGGGTATCGAAAGAAATGCATAAATATAGCCTCATTGGTCAAAGTTACCATTTACCCCCTTGTTATGTGTGTTAATTAGATCTCTTAAGAAAAGGTTTGTGCACATATGTAGTAGTTAAAAAATCCGACTGATAAGTTTAACTTGAATCAAAGATACATCAATCTTTGGAGATACTAATAATTGAAAAATGGAATTTCAGTTGCCAAATTAGTAGCAAAATAAAAGAGTAAGATTTTTCGGTTTTATTCTTTCTTTTATTGCTCTAAGTTGGATCCAAAAATATTACTCCTTGCATCCCAAAATTACTGTCCGGTTTGGATTTTCATTTTTAGTACAAATTGAACCACAAGTCAAGATCTGAACTGGACAATAATTTTGAGATAAGGAGAGTATTAATTTATGAAATATTAATTTTAAGAATTTTTACGGTATGACGACATTATTTAGTTTAACTTTAATGTTGCACTATGATTAGTTCCCCTGGAAAAAAAAACAAAAATAGTAAAAAATAAAAATATTTATATACAAACCTACACAGGATCCAATTCCAGTGTTGGACCATATCTTAAGTCCGAATCGGTGAAGTAACTTTGGGCCTATATCTTGAAGCTTCAGGCCCGTAGCACTCTTATAGGTAGTCTGTTCCTCAAGCCATAGTCATCATCTATTTAACCGTGGATCTTTCTCTTCTGGTTCTTAAATCGAAGTCCTTTTGTTCCTTTCTTGCTCAAGAAGAAGTAGTCCAGTAGTAGAACCAATGTCGACGGAAACCGATGAAGATGCCGCTCGTCGCCGGACGGCCGTCGCCGAATACCGGAAGAAGCTCCTCTTGCACAAGGAACAGGAATCCCGAGTTCGAGGGGGTACTTTTCTGAACCCTAGCTAAACCTCCTCATCTCGTTTTTTTTTTTTTTTTTAATTTTAATTTTCCGATTGTTGTTTTAGCTGCTTTAACTCGCGCGCTCTCTCTCGTTCTTGAATGCAAACATCTGAATTTGTTATTCGTTGTTGAAATTCATTCGAGATTTTCCATAGTTACGGGCTGTAAGTCTGGAATTAGATTTATCACGTTTTCTGTGGCAGTAGCAGCATTATTCAGAATTTATAGATTTTATTTCTCTTAAACTTTTTTTGCCTATGATTTCGTCTATTTTACTTACCTATGTTTTTTTTTCCCCTTCTGCGAATGAATGGAGTAGTGGAATTTTCGTAGTTGTTTACCTAGTATCATCTTTAGATTTTTTGGATAAATTCGGTCCTGGGGGTTTCTGTAAAGCCCTAGGCGGATTGTGTTTGAGTAGAGTTTTATATATGACAAGTATTTGATTTATTTATATTGTGTTACATGAAACTTAATTGTGAGACTTCAAATTTAGGGTGGGTTAAAAGGGCAGAAGATATTTGCTTCTCCTAATTTGCTCTCTGGCTTTTGGTTAAGCTTGCTGGCTGACCTTTCTCACCAGGTGCTGTAGTGTGATGCTGTTGACTACGAGATTACGAAGTTTCTGCAGCGTGATATATTTCTTTTATATTCTTTGCTTCACAATTGTTCTCTTGTTGTATTTGTTATGTTTTCTTTAGAGCATGTGCCAATTGCATTATTTTTGCTGGTGCCTTGTAAGTATCTTTTGAAGTTGATTTCTGCATCTTTTGAAGGCCATTTTCTTTTCAAATTGTTTGTGAAGTAGACTAATGCGTACATATTATCAGAATAGAGGGACTCTTACTTTTGAAGTACTGTTTTGTCTTCAACTGACCCTTTTTTTTAATCACATCAGTGAGGGAGAACCTGCGCGCTACTAAAAAGGAATACACAAAAACAGAAGATGATTTGAAGGCGCTTCAAAGTGTTGGACAGATCATAGGGGAGGTGCTCAGACCGCTGGATAATGAACGCTGTAACTACTGCTCCCTTGTTCCTCGTCCTTTGTTCCGGGTTTTTTTGTTTGTGTCATGTTTATCTTGTGAATATTGCACACTTTTGTCTATGGTGGAAAGCTTTTATGGGTTCACTTTCAGAGATTGAGTAATTGGTGTTTTTTTTAAATATCATGTCCGCTCATGTGTTTGAATCTGAAATGTCGGTGGTTTTCATTAATCTTGGCTTTTGAAGAAATGCGGGGATGTTCTGGCCTTAATCCATTCTGTCTTCTTGTCTCAGTAATAGTTAAAGCTAGTAGTGGTCCAAGGTATGTGGTTGGCTGTCGCAGTAAAGTGGATAAAGAAAAACTAACTGCAGGAACTCGTGTGGTTCTTGACATGACAACTCTTACGATAATGCGGGCACTTCCTCGTGAAGTAAGTAACTTTTGCAGCGTTAAATTCATGGGAATTTTCTTCTGGGAAAAGTGATTTATTGGAGTGCAAACTTTTGCTTATGGTTTGAGGTTTGTTGCAGGTTGATCCTGTGGTGTATAATATGCTTCATGAAGATCCCGGGAATGTTAGCTATTCTGCCGTAGGTGGGCTTTCAGATCAGATCCGAGAGCTGAGAGAATCTATAGAGTTGCCTTTGATGAACCCTGAGCTCTTTCTCAGAGTTGGCATCAAACCTCCCAAGGTAAGCCTTCCATCTAGTTATACTTTTTACTTTTGGGGTTGCAACCATCTAGGAGGAGGCAGTTTTGAGTGAGTTCGTTGTCTAGTTCATATTGCTTCTTCTCCCTTAATTTTACGGATTCTTCATATTTGAATTTTAACATTTTTAGGGTGTTCTCCTCTACGGACCTCCTGGAACCGGAAAAACATTGTTAGCCAGAGCAATTGCTAGCAACATAGATGCCAACTTCTTGAAGGTAATCTTTATTTGCCTGTGTTGTATGTGAAGCTCACAGTTATTTTCCCATCGTTGTTCACATGCATATATCTTGTAACAGGTTGTCTCCAGTGCAATTATTGATAAATACATTGGTGAAAGTGCAAGACTGATCAGAGAAATGTTTGGATATGCACGTGATCATCAGGTGAGGCCAGCTCAAGTATTAAATATTAGAGTAATTTTTTCTTTCTTGGTGAATAGTTAGCAATCTCAACTTCCTATTTTCCTTGGAGTGCAGCCCTGCATTATATTTATGGATGAAATTGATGCTATTGGTGGGCGGCGTTTTAGCGAGGGAACCAGTGCTGATCGTGAAATCCAAAGAACACTGATGGAATTGCTTAACCAGTTGGATGGGTTTGACCAGCTCGGGAAGGTGTGTGAAATGTTGATGAAGATTCATGTGAATGTGCGAGACATGATACCATAACTGCTGTTTACGATGTAATGTTTATGTGTGGGTTGTTTTTTCCCCTTCCAGGTCAAAATGATTATGGCGACAAACAGACCTGATGTTTTGGACCCTGCACTTCTTCGTCCGGGCCGATTAGACAGGAAAATCGAGATTCCTTTGCCCAATGAGCAGTCAAGGCTGGAAATTCTTAAAATTCATGCTGCTGGGATTGCTAAACATGGTGAAATCGATTATGAGGCTGTTGTCAAGCTAGCTGAGGTGGGTAGGATCATAATGCTACCTTTTTGAGATTGTCACATTTTTCCTACTTGAGCACTTTATGGACTTGACTTTACGCAGGGTTTCAATGGAGCTGATCTGCGAAACATTTGCACCGAGGCTGGCATGTCTGCCATTCGCTCAGAGCGTGATTACGTCATTCACGAAGATTTCATGAAGGTAAATTCTTGTAGGATTACTTAATTTTTTCTTCTCATAAAGTTCTGACTAAAAATTTCTTGTTTACTCCTTTGCTTGATTTCCTTGGATACAAATTTTTTAATCTGTGTTCTTTTTCTCTCTTTCCAGGCTGTTAGAAAACTGAATGAAGCGAAGAAACTTGAATCCAGTGCCCACTACAATGCTGATTTTGGAAAAGAGTAAGAGCCAGTATGGCAAACTCCAGGGATGAGATTTGTCTAAATTTTCATGATGATGGCGAAGAAAGATTTCAACAATGCTGATTTTGGAAAAGAGTAAGAGTCAATATGCCCCGCGTAAGTTATTTGTCCATTGTGAATTTACCCGGTTTTGGCTAGGTTCTCTTCTTTGCCTTCAAGAGTAGACTAGACTTTGACTTCTGGTTCATGTCATAGGGAAGTAGTTGTTGAAACTCAAAGGAGAGACATCGTCAAACGTCTCTTTATATTTATTTCATTCTGTGTTCTCTCCATGAAATGGGTACAAATATTTTTCTCCCCAAACTTTATGATGGTGAAATGTAATTGTCTTTTTTCGTTATGATTCAAATTTCAAAGTTGATGAAAGTATGTACGGCTCAGCTGTTCCAAAACTGGTTCAGGCATTAAGTTGCTAAATCTGGAACAAACAATGAATACTAACAACATTAGCCATAACAGCAGGAAGGTACTTCAAATGAGACCCACAGCTTTGGGTGAATGGTACATTTTAAACAAGCAAGAAAACTCTAGTCTCTAAAGTCTACCATTTTCTGTAACCACAGAGAAAGGAGGGATTTTAATAAGATCCCAGCAACTTGACTGAACTATGCTTGGAGTTACAGAAACTGAAAAGCACACTTTTTTATCCACTTGGTACAGCTACCAAATCAATCCCACTGCAATGCACCAATTGCTAGTGAGTGAAGCTGCTTATCCCCTGCTGCAACTACATTAAAGCCTGTTGGGGAAGGGAAAAAAACCACTTAATCTCGAATTTCCTAAACCAGAATCTTCTTAGAATTTCTACGCAAGAATATAAATAGCAGCTCATGACCATCAAATTGACACTAAAAACAAGAAAAAAACTTGTAACCATACTTGCAGGCTGGGCATCCGCTGAAGCTTTCCAGTTAAGGCTATGTCCTTTCCAATCAGTTATAACTCCACCAGCACCCTCTATGACTGGAATGAGTGAAAGAAAATCATATGGCTGCAACGGATTAGTTTAAAACTTATCAGACCAAGGTATGAAACACACTTTGAGATTTAAGACAACTCCCACAGGTTATGATTCAAAGCACAATGATTCCAGGACTTGATATCCAAGTATGACACAAAAATCAATACTCATCGATAGCCACCAACAATAATTGTGCAAGATAAGAGGACAGAGATGATTTCATTACAGAAGTGAAGGAAAAGCAATCAGATCTACAGAGATGAATATAAAGTTTGTAATGCAAGACTTTTGCCTAATTCATTTCCAATAGACATGTTATACTCGGAGTAGTTACTAGAGATACCTTAAGACCAGATTCAATCACAAGATCCACAAAACCAGTTGCTAGGAGGGCATAGGCATAACAGTCGCATCCATACAAAGGAACTTTCACCTGCCCCAAAGATGTATACGAATTATATTTCATTATGAAAAACTAGTAAAATATAACCATCAGTTTTTTTATTAATTATCTTTAAGAAGCATTATCGATAAGAAAAAGAAAGGAACATAATAATATGTTAACATTTCACTAGTTTCAAATTCATAAGAGAATTTTTCAGAAGAGAGGAACTAACAAAAACAGCTACATAGTTTAGTCTAACACATAGTGACTGAAAATGGTTTTAAGCTCTCTTCCTGCTCGCAGATCTTGTTTTATCCAGAAAAAATAAAGTTGCCCCCCTACCGATTATTTAGTCTCATAGAGTAAGACTCGAAATTTACTATCGCAGCTTTTTTTAACACCTCATCTCTAGCCAACCTTTGTTGACAAATTTTACAGACAATAAGCAGCAACAATTAAGCCCTGAGCTTTATTTTGTGTTATCAGGTCATTAAGTAGCTAATATTGCTTGCGTATACCCCAAAAAAAAAAAAAAAAAGAAAAGGAAAAAGGAATTCAGCAATGAAATAAGCACAAAATAGGTATAGGTGTTTCTGGAAGCTCAGGAAGATCTACATTCAACACTTTCTAGAACTTCTCTACGGCATGTATGCATAAAAACAACAAAAAGCAACTATGTCTATGATTTATAATTATATGTAAAAAGGATATCTGAATTAGTGTATGGCATGCACAACAATCTCAATTAGATGTCATCTTAAAAACATATGAACATGTGCGGCAATCACTTGGGTTCAAAACTTGGCAACTGAACCCCCAAAAAAAAACACCCAAAAAAAAAAAGGAAAAATGAATTGCCTGTTATTGATAGATTTTTTGTCATGCATCTCTTGATTAATGGTTGGGCTCAGTGAACAAACCTTATCCCTAACACGAGCGAAGGCAACATCAGCATCTCCTTTAAATAGATGTGGGCTAGTCGTGTACCTAATGCAGGACAAAGAAATGGATGAGAACAGCAGTATTAATCACATCTATTAATTTGTTCCCAGATTTGGTGGAAACAATGGATACAGTACAATGCAATTTCTAACATGAAGAAAAAGATTGAGCGCGACATCTTATTTGGTGCAAACAATGGATACAATAAAGTGCATTTGCTAACATGACAAAAAAGATGGAACGGGACATCTTACAGATATGCTTGAGAGAGTTTTGCACAACTACGTGTCGAGATCTCTTGTCCATTTAAAGTAGTTTTTCTCCCACTTAATCCAATCCACCTCTCCCTCAAAATAGGTTGATCAATTATTCCAAGAACCTGGGATGGAGGTGAAGTTATTTACAAGAGTACAACATAATTCATACATAAAACCAATTAGGCGAGCACCTTTGATTCAGTACAAAATGACTAGTGTTCATAGAGAACAAATTTTCTTTTTAAAAAAAGGCACAAGACAAATTTTAGAAGGCAGCATCTGATGCCAATTGTATATGGTATGTCTCTATCCCTAACACATGCTGATGATAGCAGGTTTTGAAGGAACTATATTACCCCTGATGTACAACATGTATATTGGTAACTGGTAACCAAAGCTCCATACATCTACATAAGTTCCATTGGAAGAGAACTGAACGATCAGAATGAACACTTAACAAGCAACTTCATTTCAAAGTTAGTAATTGCTGTCACCTCATCAAAAATCCCCTTTAACATATAAACGACCCTAATCAGAGAACTTAGTTGAGGAACAGAATAGTAGGTGACTCAATATAAGGAGTGAATGGATGGTGATTCATACCGGTTTACCTTTATGCAACAAAGCAATAAGAGTTCCAAATAAAGGTTTACCTGAATCACAAAAAAAAAAAAAGGCCCCAGCAAGTTCAGCAAAAATTGAAGAGCTAAAAAAAACCCCACAAGAAACGGAGGAACCAACAAAATAGAAACCTGTAATAAAGCTCTTTGTTCCATCTATGGGATCTAATACCCAAACAAAATCGGCTACTTTGTCTTTACACTTCCAACCATCTTCTTCTCCATAACTGCATTCAGTATTCCACCAAACATTGAGGCAAAATCACTTGGAAGGCGTGAACGGCAGAAGATACTAATGTTATGTTGGCAATCAAATCAAGATGAAGGCATATTTAAAAAAAAAAAAAAAAAAAAACAGGTCAAGTTAATCATTTCTCAACACGCATTGTTCCACTCCAGTGAAGTAATGTTACGAAAGTAAACTAACAATAAGAAGCTGACAAAACCAAACAGAAACAATGATCCTAGTCATGTAGACCGTAATTGCAGAGCAGAAAGGGAAACTTTAGGCCACTGCGTGAAAAAATTGTATTCATCTTCTAAGGGTAGAAAGCAGAGAAGTACAAGTAAACCATAAACTCACATTGCATGTGAAGGAAAACTCTCTTGTATGATTCTCACCATCGCCTCTTCGGCAGCTTGATCAGCAATTGTAACAGGACCTTTCACCACCAACAAAAAAAAAAAAAAAAACCCAAATCAAAACTTAAATACCATAAAATAGAGCAAAAATGTAATTAAAAACAACACACACACAGAAAAGAGGCAAGAACACTTACTCAAGTCCTCTTTATCGAGAATATCAAAACTCTTGCGGAAATACTTGCGGATAACTTCGCCGGAAGCATCAGCAAGCTTGTTAGCAACAACAGCAAAGCGATCAAGCTCGGAATCCTCGACCGCCAACTCAACAACTCCGCTGCGATCAGAAACGGCGGAAGAAACAATAGAGCTCATAGTTTCGGAACGGAGTTTGATTTCGGGAGGAGCAAAGGAATATGAAATCCGAGCAGAAGGGCGAGTGACGGCGGAGAAATTGGAATAGGCGAGTTTAGCGAGGAGAGAAGAGGGAGGAGTTTGGTTGGGGGAGAATAAATTAGGGTTCGAATGAAGCAATTGAAGCTGCATTTGTGGAGATTGAAGTTGAGAAAAGGGGGTTTTAAATAGGCGGGAAGAATCAATGGAGAAAGAGAAAGCTCACACACAGTGGTTGAGGTTTCAGTGAGGGGGGATGATGACGGTGAAAAAGGAAATGAGAAAGCACGGGAAACTAGTGATGAAATGAGACGAGTTATAAAAAAGTGGAAGATGATGTGTCCTGCATTTTCGCTCGGGTTAACACCGATCGGACTAGGGCCCTCGGTCCGTTGATACAAGGTTGGGCCAGTATTAGGGCCTGTTTGATAAGATTATGTCATGCAAGTCGGGTCTTCCGAGTCGGGTTACACGTTAATTAAGTAAATTAAGTTTAGAGAATTGGGAGGAGGCTACATCGTTTTGTGTTCTATCTATTCATCAACAGCAACGTTCGATCTTAACCCTTCATTCTACCATGCAAAAGGACAAGTTGACGTGATTTGCTGGAAGCTGCATCTGCCGACGTTAGCTTAGGATTCCTTTTTGATCATTATCTAAATTATGCGAAGTAGTGAGCTGTAGTAGAGGATTTAAGGATGTAATCATCATCATTTTCTCAGCATGTGAATGAATCAGAATCATTCTCATTCTAATTTGCTATGATGTCTTTTCTTTTCTTCCTTCTCTTTCTTTCTGTCTCTAACGTCTCTTTCAGAATCCTTTCTCGTCTTTTCTATTTCTCCTTTATCTTCTTTCTAAGTCTGATTTCCATTTTGGTCGATATTCAAGTCTGCTTTCTTAGTCAACAGAACTGTTTGATCTTTTAAGGTTACAATTCAAAAGTAACCTTGGAAACTTAATCATAACGTGACATTTGATAGTCAGAGCTTCAGCATTTCTTGGCCTGTTCTACAAAAATTTTACATTAAAACAAAAAGCAAACGGTGACTGAAACTAGATCTAAGACCACTCAGGCCTTAGAGGAACATATGAAAAAACAGGATCTTCAAATTTTGGAGATCAGTGAGTGGAGAAAAAGCTTGGACGAACGAAAAACTTCACAACGTGAATGTCAGCCTTGGAAGCAAAGTAGATCAGCAAGCAAATCAGTTCCTGTTGGTATCTTCTCAAATCAATGAACTCCTCCGAATGATGAATGAGGACAAGTCGAAGGAAAAGAAGGAATCTTTGAACCTTGGAAAGCAACAGATGGCCTCATCTTCAGCAGGTATTTTACCAACTCTTGGTAGTGTTTTTAAGATCAACTTGTTGGATGATGACTGTGTAGTAGCTGGGGATGATAGATCTGGAAAAGCTAGTTGGTTTACTCAGCCAAGATTGGAACTTACTAATTTTTCGGGTGAAAACCCTAGAGATTGGTTTAGAAAATGCGAAAAAAATTTCAGTATCTACGAGATCTCTGATATAAGAAAGATGGATGCGATAGAGCTTTATTTAGATGGAAAAGTTGACCATTGGTATCAAAGTTTGAAAAGAGTTAAAGGCCAGTTATCTTGGGGGGGATTTGAAGGAGAATTGTTAAAAAGATTCGGGGATAAAGGGGGTAAAGATGAAATAGAAGAGTTTAACAAATGTCAACAACAAGGATCAGTGACTGATTACCATGAAAGATTTGAGGAACTTAAGTCAATGATTCTGTGTAAAGATCCTCATCTCACTGAAGGGTATTTTATATCCAGTTTTATAAGTTGTCTTAAGGAGGAGCTAAAACCGATGGTTAGATTGTTGGAACCTCCAACCCTTTTGAGGGCATTGGAGATTGCTAAGGTGCAAGAACAGACTCTAGATTTTGCTATTAAGAATCGAATTTCTCAGACATTTCACCCAAGATCTTATCAACCCCCCAATCAGATTGCCTCATATAGCTAAACCTTCAACAACAGTCAGAAAAAGTAATGAACCCTTCAAGAGACTTTCACCTCAGGAGATTCAATAGAGGAGGAACAACAATCTTTGTTGGAAGTGTTATGAGAAGTGGGGACTTGGTCATGTTTGTAAGATGAAAACATGCAATGTTATGGAAATGGAAGAAGGTGAAGAGGTAAAAGGTTTCCATTTCATCAATGACGATTGTGATGATGCTGGCAGCATATTGGAGTTACCTGAGGAACAAATCCTAGCTATGACCCAAATGGCTGAATGTTGGGCTATGGAAGAGGAAGACAAGAAGACAATTGTTATCTTTGGGTTCATTAACAACTTGACAATCAAAATACTCATTGATACAGGAGCATCAAGAAGCTTCATAGACTCTAAAATGGTTAAAAGAATGAAATTCAGAACTCAAAAAGTGAAACCTTTTGTGGTAACAGTGGCGGATGGATATCAAATTAGAAATGATGTGGCCGGTCCTGATGCTCAATGATCAATCCAACAATATGATTTCAAATTCGATACGAAATTCATTGATCTGGGGGAATGGGACATAATTTTGGGAACTAATTGGTTGTCACGTTTTAGCCCCATTCTTTTTTATTATGATAAGTATACCATCCAGTTGAGTAGGAGAGGGGAAAGGTTTTTGCTGCAAGGACAAGCATATGAAGCCTATAAGAGTGTGGAGGAAATCATGGAAAGTGTACATTATCATAAGAGAAGGAGACAATAGTAGGAATGGGAGCAAGAACTTAGGCACCAGGATAATCAGAGAAGTAGAAGGGCCCAGTGGCATGAAAATGGCCATGCTGGCAGACATTTGTATGTTCTATTGGAGGATCAACTGCCAGAAGAAATAGAGCAATTACTTCAACAATTCTCAGAAGTATTTGCTGAGCCAACTTCACTACCACCAGTCAGAGCTGTTGACCATCAAATCTGCTTAAAGCTCGGTGCTGCTCCATTCAAGATGAGACCCTACAGGTACCCACATGAACACAAAATAGAAATTGAAAATCAAGTGGAGGAAATGTTAGAGAAAGGTACTGCTATGCCTAATAATAGCCCTTATGCATCCCCAGTGCTATTGGTAAAGAAAAAGGACACCACTTGGCATATGTGCACTGATTATAAGCATCTCAATGATATCACTGTCAAGAGTAGGTACCCAATACTAGTGATTGAGGAATTATTAGATGAATTGCTAGGAGCAACATACTTCTCCAAGATTGATCTAAGATCAGGGTACCACCAAATCAGAATGAAGGAAGAGGATGTCCCAAAAACCGCATTCCAAACTCATCATGGTCAGTTTGAGTTTTTGGTGATGCCTTTTGGATTAACTAACGCTCCTGCCACCTTTCAATCCTTGATGAACCATGTTTTTGAACTATTTTTTGAGGAAGTTTGTGTTAGTCTTTTTTGATGACATTCTTGTGTATAGTGCTACTTTGGATGAGAATGTTAACCACCTTACTTTGGTGCTGCAAACCTTGAAAGATCACAAACTGTATGCAAAAAAGATCCAAATGTACATTTTCTCAACAATCAGTGGACTATTTAGGCCATGTGATTTCAGCACAAGAAGTAGCAGTTAATCAGGAAAAAATCCAAAGCATCTTTGAGTGGCCAGAACCAAAAAATGTCAAGGAGTTAAGGGGATTCTTGGGGCTAGCTGGATACTATAGAAGATTTGTTAAGGGATTTGGCATTATAAGCAAACCTTTAGCCATGCTGTTGAAGAAAAACTCTTTCCAGTGGAATGAACAAGCTACTGAGGCATTTCATAAACTGAAGGAGACTTTAACACAAGCACCAGTCCTTAAACTACCTGATTTCAGCTTGCCATTTACAGTGGAGACGGATGCTTGCAATCAAGGTATGGGTGCAATTCTAATGCAAAAAGGTCAACCCAGAGCCTATCTTAGCAAGGCTTTCAGTCCTCAAAATAGGGGATTATCCATTTATGAGAAGGAACTACTAGCAGTAGTCATGGCCATCACCAAATGGAAACACTATCTTCAAGGCTATCATTTCATCATCAAAACTGATCATCAGGCATTAAAATTTCTATTGGAGCAAAAGCTGACTTCTACAATGCAACATAAATAGCTTACTAAGTTACTTGGATTGGATTATGAGATCCAATATAAGAAAGGCAAAGAAAACATTGCGCTGATGCTCTTTCAAGAAGGATTCAGGATGATCAAGGAGTTGTTTCTGTGAATGCTGTTTCCTCCCTCAAGCCTGATTGGATGCAGCACCTTGAAAATAGTTATGATGGTGATCAAGAAGTTTAGAAATTGATTGCTAAAGCTACTCTTCAACCTTCCAGTGCTCCTAAGTTATAGTATGTTAGTGGAATTCTTAAACAGGAAGGAAAACTGTTTGTTGGCAAACAAGAGGAATTAAGGCAGCAACTGTTGGAGTATTTCCATTCATCACCTTTAGGAGGCCACTCTGGGCAGAAGGCCACTTACAACAGGATCAAAACAGCTTTTATTTGGCCTAATCTGAGGAAAGAGGTGGAAGATTTTGTCAGAAACTGTACTGTCTGTCAGATCAACAAACCTAAGCATTTACCATATCCTGGTCTCCTCCAACCCTTGGAAATACCACAACAAGCATGGTGGAGTATCTCTATGGATTTTATTGAGAAGCTTCCACCATCTAAAGAAGGCTACGATGTTATACTAGTGGTGGTTGATAGACTCACTAAGTATGCTCATTTTCTTCCTTTGGCTCATCCATTCACAACAAAGACCATAGCTGATATATTCTTCAAGGAGATATTTCGTTTGCATGGTCTTCCTGATGATATAGTAAGCGATCGAGATCGAATCTTCACCAGTCATTTTTGGAATGCTCTCTTTAAGACTTTGGGTGTTAAATGGAATATGAGCAGTGCTTACCACCCTCAAAGTGATGGACAAACTGAACGAGTCAATCAGTGTGTGGAAGTATATTTAAGATGTTTTTGTGGCACTAATCCTAACAGCTGGCCTGGTTGGTTAACATTGGCGGAATGGTGGTACAACACTTCATTTCAATTCAGTGCCAAAATTACTCCTTTTGAAGCACTTTATGGTTCTAAACCCAACACTATACCATTGGGGCCATATCAAACTGTGGTGATTCCAGTTGTTTCTGATGACCTAGAGCAGAAGAATTTGATCCTGAAAACTCTCAACGATAATTTGGAGAAGGCTCAATTTCGCATGAAATTTTTTGCTGACCAGAAGAGGACTGGGAGAACTCTGCAAATTGGAGATTGGGTATATGCTAAACTACATCCTTACAAGCAGAAATCATTGGCAGCCAAGTTGTCCCTCAAACTGTCTTCCAGGTACTATGGTCCTTTCAAAATTTTGGAGAAGATAGGGAACGTGGCTTACAAACTGCAACTACCTTCTCATTCAAAGATACATCCAGTTTTCCATGTATCTCTTCTTAAGAAGAATATTGGATCAATGCCTGTTACAGCTACTGAACTACATGAACTATATGATGATGATGAAGCTGTGACTTTATTACTAGAAAAGGTGTTGCAAAGACGTTTTTTCAAACGTGGAGAGCAGAATATTGTTCAGTGGCTTATAAATTGGAAGGGACTACCAGCTGAAGATTCGTCTTGGGAGGATAGCAACTTTATCAGTCGTCAATTCCCTACATTCAAGATTGAGGACAAGTCTAATTTTAGCGGAGGGCACTGTTTTGCAAGTCGGGTCTTCCGAGTCGGGTTACGGGATAATTAAGTAAATTAGGTTTAGAGAATTGGGAGGAGGCTACGTCGTTTTGTGTTCTATTTATTCATCAGCAACAACGTTCGATCTTAGCCCTTCATTCTACCATGAAAAAGGACAAGTCGATGTGATTTCCTGGAAGTTGCATCTGCTGACGTTAGCTTAAGATTTCTTTTTGATCATTATCTAAATTATGCGAAGTAGTGAGCTGTCATAGAGGATTTAAGGATGTACTCATCATCATTTTTCTTAGCATGTGAATGAATCAGAATCATCCTACCTCTAATTTATTGTGCTGTCTTTTCTTTTCTTCCTTCTCTTTCTTTCTGTCTCTAACGTCTCTTTCTGAATCTTTTCTCGTCTTTTCTATTTCTCCTTTATCTTCTTCCTAAGACTGATTTCCATTTTGGTCGATATTCAAGTCTACTTTCTTAGTCAACAGAACTATTTGATCTTTTAAGGTTAAAATTCAAAAGTGACCTTAGAAACTTAATCATAACGTGACATATTATTTATTGCTTAAAATTATTACATTAAGCACTTTTTGATTTCAACATATTTGATAAAAAGAACTGGATCTCTTAATGAAGTAAGTGAGTGTTGTACAAAATATAAACAATAAAAGTCAGATTATTACTTACTCCTTCTGTTCTTTATTATAAGACATTTTGACTTTTCCTAGGTTTTATTTACTACGCTGACAAAAAAAACTTAAAATATTTCATAACAATCAAGAGAACACGACTAATGTGAAAATATATTTTAAAGATTTTTACAATTAAAAATGCATACTAGATGAAACCTATGACAAATAAAAATGACTTATATTAAGAACCGGAGGAAGTATTTAGTATCCGCTTAATGAATTCAACATTTATAATTCAGTATTAAGTTTTACTAATTTTTATCAAATAGTCCCTTAATCTACATTCTGATGATGGCATTAGCCTTTGACCATAATAATCACATAATCTGATTCCCCTGTAAGGGCTTTACAATATAATAGTACCTCATACTTGTGATCTTAATCACTGCGGAGTTAATTTGGTGTGAATTGGGGGCTTCTATTTAAACATGTTTAATTGTGAGGAACAAACAATGATACTGTGACATGAACACAACTCAATTCTTATATAGAGTTGATCTTTTATGTATTTCCAATAAATAGATGGTTCTATTATATAATCATAAATTTGTTGGCCAAAGCAGGCAGACTCGTTTGGTATCATAGAATTAAGGGATTGAGTTGGGGGTTATTTCACGAGTTATAAAATTTGAACGGAGACGCAGTATTACATAAATTCATATTTTCCGGACACATACACATAGTATCACAGAAATCCATATTGTCATGTTCTACAAAGTCAGTCACGGTGGTGGAGCTAGAGTACCAGCAGCCCTTCGCCCAAATATTTTTCCTTAAAAGACAGTTTTAGTGTAGATATAATTTTTTAAAAAAATTTTCGTATTTCGCCCCTGCATTCATTAAAATCAGTCCACTCTATTATTCAATTTGTCTAAAAAATGATTATTAGCACTATTCTGTTTGATTTTTAGCATCAATCCACATTATGTGTATTGATACAGTCCTCGCTAAACAATTTTCTTTTTGTTTTCTAATCAAAATGACTAGTAGACAGTGTTGTCACCATTTTGATTTTCTTTTTTTCTAATCAAAATGACTAGTAGACAGTGTTGTCGCCATTTCGATTTAACTTTTGGAACAACCAATAGAGAGAAGGTTTTTACATTCGAAATGGCCAATAAAGAGGATGTTAATACGCAGGCCAGTACTTCTTCAAGAAAGTGGCATCCAACATCCAAGAACCCTGGGCATAACTAGTGCTTTTCCGAGTACATTGGATCTTTCTAATGTACATCACTCTTCCACTGAGAGGAAGATCCGTAATGCATATTCGGTTCTTGAGAGAATCTAAGAGGTAAAGGTGGAATAATTCTCAAATGCCACGGCGGGGCGGCTATACGTTAGCTTTTAAAAGGCGGAGGAGGAGACGATCCCTCCAACCATCATAACACTAGTCTATGCATTCTCTATTTAATTAGCTGTGATAACTCAATTACATATACTCACAGTTGATCACTTGTCTTAATTCAAAAAATATATCTGTTTTAATTCAAGAAAAAAAAATTCAAATATGTTGGAAATTAGGAGACAAATAACATCCAATTAATGGAATTGACCAAGGATAATCAATTACTATTTGCTCTTTCATCGTTCCACAAAAGAGCCCTTTTAGCACATCTAAGTAATCCAAGAAAATAAACTAATTAAGCCAACATACAATCAGATGCAATACATAACTTTTATAACACTGCCCAAGTCTTTCAACACATTTTATTCTAACCAATCACACCAAGCAATTAATTAATCTACCTATTACACACACAAAAGAAGTTTTCAACTTGCACAGATAAGATAACAAGATTAATCATACTACAGATCAACAGAGAATAAACAGTGCTAATTAACTAGTATGGTGATGACCAGGGAGCTTCTCCTTAATTTTCTCCATCATGCTCTTCTTTTCGTGACCCGCAGCCGTCGTGGTCGAGGTGGCGCTGCCGGTGGTGGTGATGGGCTCTCCGGTGGCGGCGCTGTGTGCGTGTTCTTGCTGTTGCCCCTCCTTGTGCTTCCCACTTCCGGGAAGCTTCTCCTTTATCCTCTCTTTCAGCCCTTTCTTCTTCCTCCTCCCTCCTTGTCCATCGTCCTCCGACTAATTCACAAATAAGCCATAATCATATATAAATATATTTTACTCCCTCTGTCGTGGAATTATTGTACAGATTTTCACTTTTGATACAAATTAAATTAAAAATGAGTAGGTTGAGTACGAGGTTTTTTTTTTTTTATCTTACCGAGCTAGAACTAGAGCTGCTGGAGCGATGAAGCTGCTCCTGACGTTGCTCGCCGGGGGCGGCAGCGGCAGTGGCGACGGTGGGCGCAGTTCCAGTGACGCTAGGCTTGCCGGAGGTGAGAGCAACACCGCTAAGGTGCATAGGGTTGCCGTGTTCATCTTTAAGCTGGACAGGGTTGCCGTACTGGTCGGTCAGCTGGATAGGGTTCCCATGTTCATCCCTCAAATCCGCCATTTTCTATCAATCCCCTAAAAAACTGATAATGTTATAAGATAATTGTTTGCAAAAAGGAAACGGAAATATTTGTGGCCGTTTAGTTTTTGATCTGGATGGTTGTCTTGTTTGTACGAGGTTTTTTAAAGGGCTATCAGCAAAAGACAAGGTTGGGTCGGTGTTTGAAGAGCAGTCTGCATGGTAACCTGGTAGTTCCACGTAGTCAGAAAGAAACTTGAGGTGTACTACCACGTGGAAGGGACACCTTGGACACGTGTCCTCACTCTACGTTCTTCATGTTTTGGATTATGCTTCGGATTTATTATCGTAAATGATGAACTGGGTGGATTATGTGTTTCTATGTCTTATGTAATTTAAGATAGTGCAGCCGGATATATATGTAACAAATTTTAAACAACAAAAGAAAACAAAATATAACAAAAACCAAAAAGATGCGTCACAAAGTTTCATTTGACGCAACATTTTTTACTATAAAACATTAGATTATAATTTTATGGTGGATTATTTATTAACTTGGGTTGCAGGTGGACCGAGTGGCTTGTTCTGGCATGGGTATTCTCCACCAGGGGTCAGATCATGGCTCGAACATGATATTGTCGGAAATTCATACTTTAGGATTGTAACAAATTAGTTATTTTCAGGCTGTAATTTTATACAAAAAAATAAAATAAAATAATAATAGTAAAACATGGTTTTTGCACGATAACAAAGCCTAAATTTTGAGCCTTGAAGATATTCAAAGGTCTTCAACTAGATTGGAGTGTTTGGGAGCAAAAACCATCATTCAAATACAGGCCACTCCTATTCAAGCGTTGTCGGCGCTCCAGGCGGAGGCGCATGCCTATAAATTTGCTGATATGTTTATATTTTACCTATTTATTATATCTTTAATTTGTGATTTTTTGCAATATATTTTGAGCATAAATATGCTATTTATATGATTTTATCTTTATTTGTAGGAATTGTACTCAAAGGGAAGAATTGTTAAAATTACGGGCTAAAATGAAGATAAAAATAACTTAAAGGGGAGAGTTGAAGATTTGATAAATTAACAAAGAATAAATTAAAGTATTTGAAAAATTGGAAGATTAAACAAGCAATTTTAGAATTTTTGTTTTGGAAATTGGCCGAACAACAACGATGATGGTGCAGTTGATTTGGGATTGGAATTGTATAAGAATTTTAATCCCAATATTATTTGAGAAACAAATTTTTTTCCTCTCCAAGAAGTAGGGTTTTGACGGAAGCCTATAAAAAGGGAATTAGGAATTTATTTTTACAACCAAGCTTGACCGAAAACTCACCGAAATTCTACGGTTGAAAACATCCCTCCGCCGCTGCAATTTCTTCTCCCCCCTACCTCCACCTTGACCACCAGAAGCAAGCAGCTTCTCCTTCTTGACCACCTTGCTTCCTTCCATCTCCACGCACCACCTCTGCCTCACCACCGCAGCAACCACACCACCATCATCTCACCTTAATTATCAACCCATCACCGCCATCACCATCTTGCTCTCTTCCCCACCAAATAAAACCGGTAGCATCATCCAGCCCACCTGGCAGCTTTCTCCATCACCTCCACGCAACAGCATCAACAAAACCATCATCTCCTTCGCCATCACCTCCCAATTACCTTGCGCATCAATTCAAATAAAACCGGCAACAGTCTCCCTGAGCTTCTTGCAGCCGAGAGAAGCAGAGGTGTCCAAATCCGAAGCAAGCAGCAGCCGGAGAGCTTTTCGGCGGCTCTTGCCTTCATCCGGGTGTTTTTGGTGTTTTAATTATTTTAATTTCAGATTTTAGGATTATGTCTCTAAATATTATTAAATTATTTTTAATAATGTTTAGTGGCTAAATTCTTTTAACCCTAGGGCTTGGGTGTAACCATCGAATTTATTTGGTTTATTTGGTTCATTATTATTTGATTTTTCCATTGATCAATATTTAATATTCTTGCTTTTATTCCATGTTTGTAACTGGCCACTACTTGCATGTTTAAAGATATTAATTGATGGAACGACAGTTGAAAATTAATATTAGTTCATGGGAATATTGGACTTAGGTAGTGAACCACAACGGTAGGAACATAACCTTTGCAACGTTAGATTCTTAAGTTCTTAATGTGCTCTAGTTATTTTCTATAGTCACAACAGTAGTCATAGGATTAATTAAAGTAAGAGAATTATATCACGAAGATGAATAGTTCTTAATGAGGTGAATCGTTGTGAGATTAATGGAAGTTAAAAGTCAGATATTTATGAATTGAACCAAACCAAATATTCGGTAGGTGAACCCAATGTCCTAGATTTTCTTTGTTTGATTATTTGAATTAATATTAATTGTTTTTATTTTATTTATTTATTTTAATTTTAAATTTTATAAATATGAGATTATCATTTATCTAGATAATAATAGGAGTAATTTATACATGATAATTAGTATTTCTTCTCTATGGGTATGATCCTATTTTTCGCTATACTAGAGTTAAGTAGGTGAATTTATTTAACTAGTTCTGACGACGGCTTGTCACTTGCTCTTGAGGAGGCGGAGGTGCAGAGGAATCACATCAGTTAAAGTCTACACGGATTGTAAGGCCTAGAAAATAATCGATTAGCTGAATTCGACTTTTCAGTGGAGGCGCAGTGTTTAATAGTATAAGTTATTTCACTTAAGAATAGGTTTAATCGTTATACTATTATTAAGGTAACCAAAGAGGAAGTGGAAGTGGTTCATAGGCTTGCGTTTTCTTTAACATCCATGTAAGTACGGTTCTCTTTTAATGATAACTAGATGTTTGGCCCAGGCAGATGCCCGGGCGCCCCTTCTAAATTACTATTTTATTAAAATCTAATTGAATTACTATTTTTTTTGAGGAATTAATTTGGCGTATATATTATTTATGCTATGGTTTGGGGCTTAAAAAAATATACCTATAAATATGAGGTTATAAGGGAATAATAAATAATTAGTTTATAATGCATTATTTTTAATTACTGGATTTAAATTTTTTTATTTTTGTTTATATTAAGCCTGCAAAACTGTACGATTGGACATTTGAATTTGAATTAATATATCCATTCGTTTAAAATGTAACTGATTCTTATTTGTAGAATTTTTTCATTGGATAAGTGTCACATCTAAAACATATTTTTTTTTTTTTAAAAAAAAAGAATTATATAGCTTCTAATTAAAAGAGACTTACACGTGGCAAAAAGACTCCTGAAATCTGAAATATGGTGCATTAGAGCCAAAACAGATGCATACGTAATTGCCACATAAGATTCATGTCTTCTACTTTAATAGGGTAAAAGGGATATCTCACTATTTCAAAAAAAAAAAAAAATGATAACCAAAACGTCGTGGCCATGGATATTGATCAAGAAAAACGTTTCAGGGCTTATGATACAGTGTAGTTCTACTTGTTAGAGTAATTCCAGTGTAATTTCAGCGTCGAAGCAATTTGCTGTACACCAAATCATCAACATTGCAGTTTAGATGTAGTTCATCTCCTACCATCAATTCTATTTTGTGTAGCAAATTACCCAATAAAACCCAAAAAAAAAAAAAAAAAAAGTCAGAAAAGTTAAAAGAAACAACCTCGGTGGGACACTCCATTTGCTGCATCTACAGTACAACAGCAAATTTGATGATCTACTGTAGCAAAAGCAGCACTTTGCTGTTTATTTTTGCTGTTTTGCTGCTAAATTAGAGCAGAAATACATCAAATTCTCCAACAATCTGCTGAATTGGTGCAACATTGGGATGCTCTTACGTAACTGATGCATAAGAGCTTCTGACTATATAAGAGTTTCGACGTGTTTGAGAAACAAATTTTAGTGCTGGTTGACTTCTTTGACACGTTCCGCTGGTTAACCTTATTCCACTCCTCTTGGAACGGCCAGAATTTCAACTACGAGTCTACGACTATCCATCAAATTCACATCGAAGGAAGTTGCATATAAATGGCTAATCCAGTTCAAATACATCAAATCAGTTAACCGGACTCATTACCCATGGTAAGTGCACAATTTTGCAAGAATAGCATGAGACACAGCTTTATACATGTTCATTCGACGCATAACAGAGCTTGAACCTCCTGTCCCCAGCCCAAGAACTGGAAACCTCACAAGAGTACTCAGCTGCAGTTTGCCCTTCCAACAATGTAAGTTGATACCCTTTAGTATAAATGTTAGAAACAACAGGACAAGATCTGGACATAAAGACTGTACAAGCGTACAATCTAAGATGAGCATGTGCCACCAGCAAAGATAAAGAACAAATATTTCCATCAGATGGACCGATATAACAACCAATTTAAATTGTGCCGAATGGATGATTAAACTAGCTTAGGCAATATTAATTCACATTCCCTATCACCTTTCGTATTCCTATATATGGATCCATTTTCCCTTCTTTATGTTGTTCTCCTTTACAGTGTATCTTCAAAAGCTAACCTACTTTTTGCATGCACCATCCGTCCTCAATAAGACAAGGACCGACGCTTTGCTCCATCCATTCTTCAGGCTCCACCTAAGGCCTTGTAGAGAAGATCAACTGCGGAATCTGCAGAAATTGTAGAAATTAATGAGATAGGGAGAATGTGATATACAGCTCAAATCCATGGTAAGTTAATGATTGAGCTAAGATATGTCCATGTTAGAAAGAGTTGCACGAAAGCAAGGAAATGATGAAAAGCTGAGAACGAGGAAAGAAGACACAGAGATGAAGATTACCTATATCAACTGATAATCAACTTCAATTCTTCCTAGACTTTGCCCAGAAAAAGCCTCGCTTTCTAGAAGAATGATTCTCTGACAAGGATCTACTCCCTTTCGATCCAAGCGAAAAGTGTCGCCTCAAGAACGGTACTCCAGGCAAGCCTTTCATGCTGGAACTGGAACTCATTTTGGGACCTCTTCGGTCATGGCCACTACTTTTCTGGTGCTCAGAGAAAACAGAATCACTGCTAAGATCACCATCAGCAATGCGATTTCTAGACCTCTTTCTAGTCTTTGATTCCAATTCAGCTCTCAGAGCTTTCTCAGACATTTTATGAGCCTGCTTCTCTCCAAAGGTACACACAGGGCAACCTGGATCGTACTTATTAACTTCAGGCGTCATATTCTCCAAGCACTCAGCATGATAAACATGCCCGCATATTAGGACTGCAACTACAGCAAGCTCATTGGTGGGTATAATTTTCTGGCTGCCCCATAAAGATTTCTCAGTTAAAAGTTTTGCACAGATACCACAAGTTTGTAGATCAAACTGGTAACTGTTTCTACCACTAGATCTAGTTAATTTATCACGACAGAAACCCAGGGTTTCACTGTCAAAAGACCACCTTTCCCTGCGGGAAGTAGTTACAAGATCAGGGAAGGTAGGTGTAGACCAGCTATCTGATGAACCACCATGGGAACCCCTTGTTGAATCGTGGCTCCATCCAGGAAGTACAAAAGAAGATGTTTCTTCAGAAACTGACAAGGTTGGAGATTTGATTAGGCTATCAGATACTTGTCGTAACAGTTGGTGTCCAGGAGAACGGCGAGGCCATCTTGATGGAGTCGAGCTAGCGGGCAGTTGGTGGCTTTGAGATGAGAGAGGTGATGCTGAAAATGATGACACTGATGGTGCTGAAGGAGACATCTTCGCAGGAGAAGGGCATGAAACCGCTGGTGAACCGCTAGACTCCTTAACCTAATTAAGCATTTAGAAGAAAACAAAAACAAAAATCTCATCATTGTGAGGAGAAATAACAAACTGAATTGCTTAAGCATGTGAATGAATCAAGAAAACATGCCTGACGTACCAGACTCACGTCCGCAGAATTTCTAGACGTCAGAGGATCTGCAAAACGAGAAGATGGTCATATACAGGAAAATAGAAGGCCCTATATAACTTGAAACTTCCAAAAGTAGCAGGCCACAAGAGTACCCTGAGGTCCATTGGCATCAAGGAGCAATAATAAACGACATATTGATATATTATGCAGCATCCACAGCAATCACTCACCCAATCCAGGCATTATAACCTACAACCTACAAATGCCATGTCATGGACACAAACATCACAGCTGCTTGTCTTTATGCAAACTGATCATATCTGCTAAAGCTGAACCAGCCAAATTGAAAGAGTTTCCAATAATATTGGCAAACTACTATTGCAAGAATGCATAATTCTATGACCAGAGTACACCTACAAATCAGAAGTACACTTCCCACGGCAGTAAAAGGCAATAACATTCCAGTCTTACAAAAACAAAAACATAAATTTCTTTCCCCGAAATGATTTGAGAGTGCTCTCCGTACCTAGGAAAAAACGGTTAGATCTACCTAGATGGCTAAGGAATTAAAATAGTAGGCGCACGACCCTAACAGTGCTTCTGGTCAGAAAATGAGCTTCTCACTTGTCATTGTTCAGGTGATGCATTGAACTACCAGCATAGAAACCACACAATAGCCACAGACCAAAATAGCTTTTAATCCTAGACAAGGATGAAACAAAGTATTTTCCAAAAACTCAACACATAAAAGTTACTAGTACAACAAGAAGCCTTTATCCTACTACAAGGGACCGGCCTCATAATTTACTAAATCAAACTTAAAACTTCTAACATCAAATTGCATATGTTAGGATCTTATTCAGAATACATTTAGTTAGGACAGATCCAATGCTTTGCTCGGTGACCTCTAAGCAATGCGGTCCTTTAACATACATAGTAGGCTATGCCTGATTCCACATCACACAAAGGAACTGATCAACCACATGCACATTCACTGCACAAACCAAGAGGCCTACAGTATACAAAGGACTGTTTCTGAGTTGGGGAAGTAAAAAAAATAAGGTTCCTCTGATATGTTTCCCCTTCCAGGAAAAGATCCTCGTAGTAGCATTATATATAATGCCAAATAGAAGTGATCTGAAGGTTTATGTTACGAATTCAGCTAATGAACAAATCAGAAATTGCAACTGCTATGACTGCTACCATCAGATATCCAATTCACAGAACAATATAGCTACTACTCAACTAATTCTTCTGCATGCAACTCCTGATAGCTCTCTGTATACAACATTTACCATCGACCAACTCCAGCTCAAGAACAAATCAGATACCTTTCTATACAATCCAATTTAAGAGTGAGGCTTTTTCCCATTGCAGGCTTATATGTAGGGCACGAAGAAATGATTTAAGCATCAAGCTATTAACTGAAAGAACTACCTGAAGAATGGAGCCCTGGAATCCCATTGTTACTTTCAGAAACTGGAGACTTCTGCCACACAAGTGATCTAAAACTATCCAAAGGACTGCCCTCTTCAGATGCATATGCAGTTTCGGTAGTTGGTCCAGGTTTAATACCGAATCGACTATTATGAGTGCTGCCATCAGAAATCCAATTCACAGAACCTTCATCCCCCACTACTCGTACCCTGTTATCCCAGCGAAAACTCCAAGATGGAGAATGCCGGACATTACGATGTATAACATCACTAGCAGATCCATTTGTAACGGTTCCATCCCGGGCAGCTACGCAACATGCAGACCCCATGCTTACTCAAAGTAATGTCGATGAAGTTAACTAGCAGCAAAGGGGCGCCACCTATTCCAGCATGGTTACTGCAAGAACGAACACACAAAAAGCTTATCACTACCAGAAATCTCAGGGAGTTATCCACCTTGTGACAGAACATAACAAAGCAAGAAACAACTCATGCTCGGTCACGGAATATTGATGGGAACTCTCAGATGAAGTATCCATCAAAACTGGATCATTTAACAGACAACCTTCATATGCAGTTTTAAAATCACTTGAACTTACACTTCCAAGTTAACAGCAGTTAAGCAAGAAGAATGCAGTTACAACATGTCAAGAACAATCTCACGGTCCAGATCAATATAAATGGACAGTAACATCTCAGAGTACTTTAGTTTGTCAACAAACAAAGTCGGCAAGCTAAGACATAGCAAGTGATAATCAGAAACTGAACCAAAAGAATACAGGGTATTCAGAAGGTCCACTGAAAATTTTCAGTGGAGAACTATACTACTATACAATGAATGAACCACTCCAGCTAAAACTGCAATCCCATTAGTTCAGTTCAGGGGCTTCAAACATGGCCCCAAATACAGAAATTCCATGGGCAAAATTTCCAATAACAGGAACCAATTAATGATGGGTGAGAACAATAAATTCATTCCCAATCAGAGCATCATCAGTCCTATCAAAGAAAAGATTCGCTAATATACTAAAATCATGAAATAACTTAGAAAAGATTGGCAAAACACACAGCAAAATGTAACCGGAGGAGCTAAAAACAACAACACCTGAGATTGGGTAAAAAATGAAGTGAGATTGGGGAAAGTAGAAACCAAACCTGCTAAGTCACGCAATCGAACACTGAGCAGTAGGAGTGAGCTTGAGTCCGTGAAAACCCTAAAAATAAGAAGAATCAGACACTTGACACACTTACAGAATCACAGAGATCCGAATTTCATTCAAGGAAAAAATCGAATTATAGATGAGATTAAAAACAGCAATCTCGGTCAATAAAAAAAAAAAAAAACACTGCAAATATATATATATACATATATCGTATTATAAATATTTCTCCCCTTCCCTAAATACCGCGCATGTAGTTTCCATATTAATCTCAGATGAATCCACCTCTTCCCCCAAACCGAAAAAAAAAATTAAAAAAAAAATCCCAATCCAAAACCCAAATAAAATCACCCACAGATATCATCTTAAACTCATTCTATAGCATACAAGCAATCATCTCAAAAAAGCAAAACCTTCCAGCTCCATATTCCGCATATTAAAAAATGGAAAAAAAAAAAACAAAATAATTAACAAAAATTAGTAAAACTCTCTACCTTTCGGCGGTAAGCCACAAAAGAGGAAGAGGAGAATCTAGAGAGAGAGAGAGAAGCAATACAGATTACATAAATAAATATGTAGGAATTTTAGAAAGAGAAAGAGGGGAAAAAAAAATGTTCGGATTCTTGAGTTGCTGCCGAGAGGGAGTAGTGAAAGGTCGCTTTTTTAGACGTTTCCTCAGAGTTCCGTCAACGTGGGTGAACTCAGCTGGTGGCTTTTTTCGTCTCTTTATATGAAACGGAAAATGGGGATTTTGATAATAAAAGGAGGGTGGTCGGCAATTGACTTGACGGCGTTAACTGACACATGTCTATATAGTGTGAGTATATAAATACAGGTATGATAGAAAAAGAAAAGTGTACGGTGGTACCCCCGCATTTTTTTTTTTTTTATGTCTAATATTTATTTTAGTCAAACAAATTTGTGAGAATTTGTTACCAAAAACTCAACGAGGGAAATGCTGGACGAGATATTTTTATGTTGTACTTATATTTACCCTTTTTATTCTAGTTGGAAAGAAAATTGTCCACTATAGATTTACAGCGTATTAAGAGAATTACTCAGAATAATTTTATCTTTTATTTTGGTATAACGAAAATACATTAATCTCAACCGTTAAAACAGCACTTAATACATCTACATTGTATCATTCTTTTTAGATTTTTCGGATTTTGAAATGATTGTGCTAATTTGAAGGTAAATGGAATTAAAATTTCAATTAAAAAATCATTCAAGAAGTGATTAAACCCATATACATGCCAACGTCACAATTGAAATTAATTAGTCTTGAAATTAAAATGTTTTAGAATTAATTACTTTGTCAATAACATGATTGTTTTGGTACATTGTATGTAGATTTTCGTTAAAAGTCCCCCTTTCTTTTCTTTTTTTACCCCTCAAGGATGATTTTGGTTCCATGCGGTTACTTTCCTTTTTTTTTTAAATTATCTTGAGAGTCTACATTGAGTCGTATTCACACCCTTTATCATTTTTATTTTACTTAACAAAAAATAAGAAGAATACAGTAAAGTCGGAAGGGGGGGGCTTCTTCTTCTGAGGGACGCTGAGTGGGAAGTACGCATTCCCAGCTGCTTTTCGGGTAAGAAGAAAGTAACACCTAACAAGTAACAACTTAAATTCCCAACATGATTCTTTTAATATATTATTTGGTTAATTTATTTACTTCAAAACTTAATTTATTTAAATCCCGTCAACAAAACCTAGCTTGTTAAGAGATGGAGCATTTCTAGTAGTTCGATTAATATTGGACGATAGTGTTGAAGGAGAGTAGGAGACCATCCATGGCGGTAGCTAACAAAATTAAGTTTTTCAAAAAAAAGGGTTTACATTTATTTTCCGCATTCATTGGAGATAATTTTATTGACAAAAAGAACAATACTACTTTTCAACGACCCTTCTTTTACATGAACAATTTATTTCGGGAAACATGGAAAAAACAGAAAAGATGGATGTATTGGAAACAAAAGGGCTTTTGAATGATGTGAAAATTGTATTTAGGTTTTTGGCCCTAAAAATAATAAAAATTCATTGTAAATGTGAAGGAACAATGCACCAATGTGAGGGCACCATGTCCCGCTTGGAGGTCGAACCATCGAACTCATAGCCAGGATGAGACAAATTATTTTTTTACACAAGAGTGATGAACTCAATTATACATTTATTATTTTTTTTTACTGCATTACATGAGCGTATATAGTGCAGCAAAACTTCAAAATATGTAAAACGGAATTAGGCTTTTGTGTAAGAAGGAAGAATATGATTCTTATAATGAGATGACCACTTACATATTTGTAAAACTTAATTATTGTCGATAGTATGTTGTGAAGCGCTTCTCTTCTTCTGGTAAGGTTTGAATTGTGACTTCTTTTTTTAAAAAATTTTTTTTTTATCACGGATTATAAATTGGAAAAAAAATTATCTTTGTGAAAAATAAGAAAAAACCCTAAACTGAAGGAAAATTTATTGTACCTTTTGATTTGGGGGATTGGTTATGATCGATCAAAGAGAGGATAAATGTAATTAGTAAGCCTCAATATTCAATGGAATCCCAGTTCAAAATACAAAGCAACAAAAGTACTAGGCATATCAAATTAACGCCCCTACAGAAAATAAAAAATCATCTCGTCGAGTGACCAGAGGCGTCATCAAGAACAAAACACAACAAGAGATCCCTAATTAGTTGTCGTGCAATTTCCTTCGTACTTCACGACCAAATCCAAACGTGCTCTCACCACTGTAAGTGAGGTAAAGAAACCCATCTTCATCCTTATTTTGTTCGTAGACGGCGGATATTAACGCTGCATTGGAAAGCAGCGTATCCTTCACGAAAAAGAAAATCGCGGTATCGGGACCAAGACTAATTCGCTTCCGAATCACCATCATTAGATGGCCGACGGTGAAATCCGGCGGGACCAGAAACTTGTTTTCCACCACTTCCGGGATGTCGCTCTTTTCCGCCTTCTTAATAATTACCCGGATTTTACCCGGGTTCTCTTTCGTGATCCGACGAAATTCTGCTCGCCTCGTTTCCAAAGGGCTTTTCCCATAATTTCTTGGTCGACATGGCTGCCATTGAGAAGACACAACAAAGAATCCTAGCTAGGTCTTTGATTTCTGAGTTATTTTTCAAGTATACTTTGTATTACGTTGTATGCTTGCTCAGGATCAAAGGTGTATTAGGAGTTAGGACAGATAAAAAGAAACTAAGGGCAATTTATAGTCAACCCGCACATAAATTAAATCCTATTTCAAATCGAAAAAGGATTATTTTTTTTTATTTTTTAACTTTATTTATTTATTTTTGGCTAAAAGTTCGTTTATAGAATTTTCCATGTAACGTTCAGATTTGACAATGTCATACATACGGGAAATTACTATTGTAGAAGATACTTCTTTCGTTCTTCAATTTGTTCAGGTTCTTACAAATACAATAGAATTGCTATCTACACTAATAGAGATAAAATTAAAAGGATTAATGCCTTATAAATTACACATGTAAGTTAAGTAGTACTGAGATTTCTGAAACACTTATGGGATGAAGTATCTGTTGGGGATTTATTTAGAGGAGAAAATTCGACATGGAGTTCAATAAATAAGATAAGATCCATCTGAACTCAAAAGCTCCAGCTAATGGGTTCTGAGTCCACCTTACTTATTAACTGATTCACATGTCATCATGCCTCCGATGTGGGATTCATAATCCTTGCCACATGACTCTCAACATTCTCCCCCGTCATGGACAATCCCACATCGGGTTTCCAAATTATCTTGACAAGCCCAAATCTGTATTCCACCTAAGTAATTGGGCCGCCTATCCCTATGTTTCCGCTCGTACTGGACCTTTGACTGCTTGGGTTCAGTCAGATCAACCGAGATAATTTGGGCTAAATCACCCACCCACTTGGCCTAATCTGGCCTCTGATACCACTGTTGGGAATTTATCTGGAGGAGAAAACCCGACATGGAACCCAATAAGTAAGATAAGACCCATCTGAACTCAAAAGCTCAAACTAATGGGTTCTGAGTCCACCTTACTTATTAACTGATTCACATGTCCTCATGCCTCCGATGTGGGATTCATAATCCTTGCCACATGACTCTCAACAGTATCAAGTCTAATACTGATCACTCTATTCTAATTTGAATATTGTTAAGTTTGTTTCAAATAAAAAAATAATTTTAAAACGGAAGAAAAATGTATTAAAAAAGAAAAACTACTTATGTTGTTCTGATCACAAAACTTAAAATAAATTATTGTATTCTTTCTGTCTCGAAATTATTGTTCAATTTAGATTTTTTTTTTTAGTATAAATTGAATTAAAAGTATAAATTTAATTAACTGGACAAGAACAAAAGGAGTAAGTTCTTTTACACCAAAAAATTTATCAGAGGTACTAATCATCGGTGTATCATGTAACCAAGGAATAGAAGGAGTTAGACCATGTTCTTATTTTTAATTTTTAGACTTTGAAAATTAATAAATAGATAAAAGAAACTGAGTAATGTTACACGTCTCTACAAATTTATGTTATCTTTATATGTGTATATTGACATTTGGCATTTACTGATTAGTTGTTAATATGATTATATCAATGATCATTCAAAAATAAAGTAATGGATGATCAGCTCAAAACACCGTATGATGGATTTGATAGTTAGAGATGGATTTGGTGGACGAAGTGATAATACGGGGAATATTGTTGTTATTTGACTTAATTCTCTTGACAAAGAGAATATGTAATGCTGTCCACTCAAGTCACCCAAAATGAAAAATGGTATTTGTCATAAATTATATTCCCTCCGTCTCATAATTATTATCCAGTTTGGTTTTCATTTCTAGTTCAAATTGTACTAAAAGTGAAATCTCAAATTGGATAATAATTTTGGGATGGAGGGAATATCTATCCATATGGGCTTTCGGCCCGAATACATCTTTAAAATTTTATTTTTATTTTTGCATTAAGTTATTTTAGTTTTTATTCTCAGTATATATATGGTAAGTGAAGGTGCTGATGTGGTCAAAGCATATAAAAGGAACAGTCCCACAGCCACACATCTTTAGGCCATGCCCAAAGCAATTAAAAGTTTCTAACTCTTTATTAATAAGTTGATTTATACGTAATCTAATCGCTTGTACCCAAGAACTTGCTGCATTTGGTGTACTTTCTTATTTAAAATAAAAAAGAGTTTGGCGGTGTCAGTATTTGTTATTAAAAGATTTTAAAGATTCTTTTCTCAGTTGAATTACAATCCCACTACCGCGCTGATGTTAAATTAGTATAAGCACAAATACACTATGATTTTTTTTTTTTTTGCTTTCTAGTTTGTTCTTTCTGCAAAATGAAAAATAAAAAATAAAAATTTGGACATTGCTGCTCACAAAAAACAGTTTCGTAATTAATTATCCCCATTAGGCACAAACATAATTCGTTCAAAGAATATATATAACTTTAATTTTCGAATAATGTGATCAAAAACTTTATTGTTTGGAATAAATAATCATGAAATATTTTTATTAATTAATCTCAATAAACATAATTAAATATATATATATATACACACACACCATCTATACACACACGTCTTTGTGTGTGTGTGTGTGTATATATATATATATATATAAAGTTCAAAAAACTTTTTATTGAAATAATGATCAAAGAAAAAAATAATTTACGAGTTTAGGTAATATATTTTACCACTATTACGTTAATATTTGTATCCGAATAGGGTTATATATATAAGGTATACATAATCACCATTATCTTCTCAAACTCTATCT